CTGCCTGCCTCTTTCCAGCCCTGTCCCATCACCTTTGTAACCTCCTCCTGCTGTTGCTTCCTGCTGTGGTTCTCATCTCTGCCTCTGCCAAACACACAGGGGCCCCTCAAATATTTGAGAAATGAGTGAGCAAGCTTCCTTTCAATGTTCTCTATACTCTGTCCACCAGAAAGTCACTCATTAATTTGGCTTCAAATACTATACTCCAACTACTTTATGTAGATGATTACCAAAAATATGAATCCACAAAATGTAACTAAAACCCTTGATTTCTCTTGCCTTGACTTCTTGGTCAAACTTCAGATCCCATTTCTAACTTCTATTGGGCATTTTCCTTTGGCCTTTCTACTATCTTTTTTAAACTGAACTTACTCAATATTAACCACATAAATTTCTACTTACGTCTCTCCTAAATTGAGTATTGTGTTTTTAAAGTCAACATTATTTCCCCTGCAAGTGTCTTCCTGTTTTTGACTCCACTAGGTTTGATGCTATAAGGCAGGTCTATAGAAATTAGTGCATTTATTTGAATCCCTCTGCTCTGGGCTTTAGGGGGAAGCTGGAGTGAACAGTGTCGCCTTTTTGTGAAGGGGCTGGCCCAAAATTTAGCCTCCCTTCACAGTGAATAACTGGATGTGGTATGTTCCTTCATTTTCTCTTCCCATGCAGTCCTTCAACAAACAACTTGTACTTTGATGATCCTCTACATTCTACTACAATAGAACCTTCATAATAAGAAAGATTCAAAGAAAAGAAAATGATTCAGAGGAAATTTAAAAAAAAAAAAAAAAAAAAGCTAAACTAAATCCAAGACAAGGCCTCCATTGTCCTTGGGACATCTATTCTGCCTCTCAGCAATCCCACTCCCTAGTATTCTAAGTGTTCCCTATCCCGCCTGCCAAAAAGAGACCATGAAAAAAACCCTCCCCCAAAAGATTGTATTTGACTTCCTATTTTTTTCCCTTAGTTCTTGAGTTCATCTTGCCTTAGGTCATGAAGAATATGAATTTCATAAAACGAAGGACTCTGTATCCTTGGATCTGCAGGGCAATTATTCTCTTAATCAATACTTCACTCTCAATAAATGAATAGTTTACCTTGGCTTCACCGTTCAGCCAAGGCCGCCTGACTTAACTGCTTCTTCCTGAAAGGAATCAGATCTTACCCCTAACACACACACCCATAGGCTTCAAAACATTTCATAAAGTAAGTTGTCTCATTATTTCTTTCCATCCCAGATATTGAATCAATCCTTTTATCTTCTCTGGCCTCCTACCCAGCTCAAGGCTAGTTTCCGGATTTCTTCAAAGGCTTTCTCAGAGTCTCCCTGCCCCTAGTCTCTAACCTACTCCCAGACTATCCTAAATAATATTGTCAGATTGACACTTGACTTTCTTGTCCCCAAGCCCTAATGTCGATAGTACAAAGTTTAAAATGTGAGTCCTATTTAATACACTTCAGAATATATTCCTAATTTAATACACTTCAGAATATATTCCTAATGCACACTTCCTTCTCCACACACATCCTCATTCTCCCCTCTCCAATTGCCTCACTTTTTCCAAGCTTCTTCTCCATCTGTTCTTTTTCTTCAAAGTCAAAAGACCCTCTTAGCCCTCAGCCCTAAGACTCCAGTGTTTATTACATCCTGGAATCTAGAGAAACAACAGCATCTTGGTAACTAATCAGATATTACCTGATATTATAACCTTATATTATTACTTTATTATAATCAGTATGAGAGTCGATTATAAAGGACTGAAATTAAGTTCCACAAACATCACTTAATCGATATCATTATTTCATACTATTAAACAGGAGTCAGAACTGATGACTGTGGGCAAGACATGGCTTCATATCAGCTTTATGTGGCAACAGAGCCTTGTTGCTTTACATTTGAATTTGAGGAATTCAAACAACCTGTGGGAGTGGGGGAGTAGGTGTCACCGTGCCCATTTCACTCCAGTTTCTACCACTCACCATTATTTCAAATCCTAGTGCATCGAAGAGTCACAAGTACTGCCTGATCCTGAAGACACTCAAGTTTGCAATATTTTTTGAGAGTCACACTTGAATTATCTCATTGCCCTAGTAAGTCTGGAGACTTCCAGAGGTACCTGCTGTGTTGTACACCTCTAGCCTGACCTCTGCTACCCCACAGGTCCCAGTACTACACTAAGCACATAGTAGGAACTTGGTGAATACAAGTTCAGTGGACCCATGCAAGACTGTGGAATAGATTTGGTTGTCAGGGTTGGGAGATCGAATGACTCAATGGACAAAGAATGTCATCATGCGCCTGAGATGAACTTCCCTTATGCAATGCCAGATGAGCTTTCATGACCAGGAGTTCCCACCATGAATCCAGCACTTCCAGCAATAACACCTACTGCTTACGATCTGTTCCTGGAAGTCATCCCACTAAAACAGGTGTGGTATTTATCTCAGTTCAAAATACCAACTTAAGTGTCAGTTCCTGGAGGAAAAGGAACAGGGAGGTTTATTTTGAAGTGAGGGGGAAGGAGAACTTCCTAAAAATGCTATTTACAAACATAATCTTCCAATGACAGGAAATAGAAACAGAAAGCACCTCTTGTTGACCTAAGCAAGAAGTGGTTAACCTCATTCTAACAACTGTCAAAAGACCTTAGTTGCCCTGTCACTTTGACTGAAACGCTGAGTTTATGTTCTTCAAACCCTCAGCTAGAATTTCTAGGATGCACCAGCCTCAGGGACAATAATGCCCATGTGACAACCAGAAAGTGGTAGAGGTTTGGAAACAAGACAGACCAGGGTTTGAAAATTGACTCTGACACTTGCTTTTAGTGAGCTTTCGTGTCCTTAGTGAGAAAATCTAGGAAATAGTGCTTTCTTCAGATAATTAAATGAGATGAGAATAAGAATAGCAAATATTTACTGAGTGCTAATTTTGTGCTAGGCACTGATTTAATGTGCTTTCAAAATGTGTCATCCATTTACAACAACATTATGAGGCAGATACTATCATTATCTCTATTTTACACATCTGGATACCGAGACACAAAGAGGTTAAATTATTTGCCCAAGGCCCTCAGCCTATAAATGGCAGGATTTAAATCCAGGTGCTATTGCTTCTCAGTGCTATAAGTGCCTAAAACAGAAAGATATAGAACACTTCCAAATTCACTCTTTAATGCCAGTATCACCCTGATACCAGAACCAGAGAAGGACACATTAAGAAAACTACAAACCAATATCCTTGATGAATACAGATGCAAACATCCTCAATAAACTTTTAGTAAATTGTTATTGTATGTCCTGCTTAGCCTCAATGTGTGTAGAGGGCAATTTTTCCTATGTTCTTACACAGAGTGGGCCAGGTCAAGGGCAACTTTGGGGTGTTTGAGAGAGGCACAGTCTTAGAAACCTTATCATCTACTTTTGGGGGACCTGGAATGCCAGTAAAGAGATAGGGTAAAGGTTCTCTCTCCCTTCCTCCCCCAACACTCCTGCACTCCTTCCCTCATTCCTTTGTTCAGCATCTCAGTTTTCCAGGTGCTCTATCACGTACTTTACATGAGTTACACAGAGTAAATGAGCCCCAGAAGGCAACTGTTATGGGTAAGTAAAAAGAGGTCATATTATACTATGGGCTTCAGAGCACTTTAAAAACAGAGATATGAAAACAAAGGGAAAAGAACATATAGAGATAGATAGATAGTAGATAGATAGATAGATAGACAGACTGATCCAAGGGGATATTTTTGGATCTGGGAATGCCTACTCTGCTGAAGAGGCTTTGTCAACCCAGCCATCCTAAAAAGGACCCATCTGCACCAAGGAAGAGTTTCTGTCCTAACCATGTTCCTGTTTTAGCCAAATTCCCTAGTTCTGAAGGTGAAAGTAAGCATAGGCTCTTTCCCCTATAAAGTAATTTTATTGCCATAATGGGACACCCAGACCCATTGATGAGGATGGAAGGGTCCCAGACCAATAGAACAGAAGATTGCAGCTCTTATCACTGTTGTCAGGATTCCCAGGGCAAGGCAAGTGGTGAGAGGGAATTTTTCCCAAGACCAGTGTTGTGGTTTGCATCTGAAATGAACCCTAAAGACTCAGGTTGTTGAAGGTTTGGTCTCTGATGCAACATTATTCAAAAGTGGGGCTTTGAAAAGTGATTCAATCATGAAGTCACTAACCTCATCAATGGATTAATCCATTGATGAGTTCTAGCTGAATGGGCTATTAAGAGGTGAGGCCTAGGCAGAATAAGTAGGTCACTAGGGGCCTGACTTTGAAGGGCAAATCTTGTCCCAAACCCTCACTTGTTCTCTCTCCCTACTTTCCTGACTCCATGAGGTAAGCAGATCTGCTCCACAATACCCTCTCCGCCATAATGATCTGCCTCAACACAAGCCGATAGAATGGAGCCAGCTGACCATGGACTAAAATCTCTGAAACCTAGAGCCAAAATAAAGCTTTCCTCTTTTAAGTCGTTTGTCTCCCATATTTTGCCACTGCAACAGAAAGCTAACACAATCTGAAAGTTCCCAAGTACTTCTTGGTTGGAACCCCTAATTAGGGAAGGGCCAGTAGTCCACTTGGAAATACTAGAAGATTTGTTCGTCATAGCATGGACTAGAGGGAATGTCCTACTCCTCAGAATGTCCATCAGAAAGATGAGAGGACCCTTTAAATGAAACTCACTGAGTGGTGTCATGGGTATGTTGAGAATAACATGGCATTCAGGGGGAGGTTGAACTCAAATACATAACACATCAAGCTTCTCACATTTTTCACTTAAAACCTCTTTTATTCACACTCTCATTTTTAAAAATCTCTTTTATAATACAGGCCCTATAAGCTTCAGCTAGCCTAGTGGCCATAAAGGTCTCATTGTACAGCAGCATGTACAATGATTTTCACCAAAATCTCATGAAATATATTTGTAAATTATGGTCCAGGATTTGACAGATCTTCATCTGTGAAAGTCAAGAAATAAATTATAAACTGAAGCAAGATAGATGGAGATTCTTTTTTTATTGTGTTGAATTACACAGATCTTCACACAGCAATCCAAACCCCAATACATGACAAAATTATTCGTGCTGTTACATAATCCAAAAGCAAAATATCTGAACCACAACCCCAGCCCTAAGATGACTCCTCAAAACAATGATTCTTTGAGAAATAAAAAGTTAAAATAAAAATAATATAAAAATAGAATTAACAGATCAGAAAGTGAGAAAAAAGGTATATTTAATAAAAAATGACTTAATAAAAGCAAGCATTCAAGATCTTATTAAATTAAGAAGTTATGCACAAACCATTTTTGGAAAATGAACACTGAGTTTCATGTATTTTAAAATAACTAAAATGAGATATGAATTCATTAGGACTTCTTTCCCTTAACTACTTATGTAAATGGACCTTTTCTGAGAACTGTACCATAATCTTTTTTTTTGGGGGGGGGGGGTGGTGGTACAGGGGATTGAACTCAGGGGCACTTGACCACTGAGCCACATTCCCACCTCTATTTTGTATTTTATTTAGAGACAGGGTTCTCACTGAGTTGCTTAACACCTCACTTTTGCTGAGGCTGGCTTTGAACTCATGACCCTCCTGCCTCAGCCTCGCAAGCCACTGGGATTACAGGTGTGTGCCTCTGAGCCCAGCATACTATAATCTTAATGTAACACAGTATTTTTTGAAATTTTGATGACTTCTTAAAGGTAATATCAAAATAACAAATTGATAAATGGTAGTTCCAAAAACATCAAGAACATTTATAAATGCATGTAATTTAAGCCTGCTTTGTCCGCTTCTAAAGGTGGAATGCTTATTAGAATATATGCTTTTAATTGACTAGAATTCTTTTTTAATTTATTTTTTCAATATTTTATTTTTTAGTTGTAGTTGGACACAATCTTTGTTTTATGTATATCCTTTGTGTATTTTAGCACATTTTACCTTTAAAACAAATTTTGCACAATATGTTCACTAAGAAGTTGAACAGTGTTGTTTTTTTTTTTAAAAAAAAAAAAGGTAAGCATATACCTAAGACTTAGTTTCATGCCATTATCATCTAAATACTGGGGGAAAAAAAAAACCCTGAATTACAATAACCCATCTCAGCAAAATTTTCCAATTCAAATTAGAAAGGCTTCAGTTTACAAATCTCTTTTTAAAGGGTAATATTAATACAATTCACATCAGAATATCCAGTTAATACAATTAACAACAAACCACAATTTTGTTATATATTAGAACTTTCTACTGGTCTTTCAATTCCTTCAGCCTTCTGATTGCAGAGCTGACCTTGATGGCAGATGTGGTGTTGTAGGTCCAGGCACCACCAACCACTGTTTTCATGCAGAAACCACAGTGCCCAATCCCCACAGCCCGTCTCTTCATCTTGGTTTTGATACAGAATGGACAAGTGTACTTGGTGTGCTGGCTGATTCAATTTTCCTCACCATTTTCCGGAGGGAGGCACCATAGTGGGTCCCATATTTACCCATGATTCTGACTTTCTTGGTGCGTTAAGCCATGTCACATGGCTAAGGCCTGAGCCCGGAGAGGACAATATCTTTATTTTATTTATTTATTTTTATGTGATACTGAAGAGCGAACCCAGAATCTCGCATGTGCTAGGCAAGTACTCTACCACTAAGCCACAACCCCAGCTCCAACTGACTAGAATTCTGAGATGAGTTAAATGGATTTTGTTTTTGTTTTGGGAGTCTCTTTTTCTACTTAATTTTGTTTTCCTAACAAACCAATTTTTGTGGTCATAATGAGAAAAGAAAACCTAGCTCTCTCTGTATCTTGTAAAAACTAAAAGAATTTTAGTATATTGTCTTTGTTCATTTGAGATACTATAACAAAATACCAAATACCAGGCAGCTTCTAAACATAACAAATTTACTTCTCGCAGTTCTGGAGGCCAGGAAGGCCAAGGTACAAACAGATTTGGAAACTGGTTAAGGGCCCTCTCTTCTTGGTTTGTAGATGGTACCACCTCACTGCATCCTCACTTGTGGTGGAAGGGAGAAATGAGCTCCCTTGGGCCTAATTTTCTAGGATACTCATCCCATTCATGAGGGCTCCACCCTCATGACCTAATCACCTCCCCCAAAGCCCCACTTCCTAATACTTTCATCTTCCAGGGTAAGATTTCAACATTTGAAGACATACAAACATTCAGACCATACCAAGTATGACAGAAGAAGATGCCTAGGTTATAATATGAATAAAAAACGAAGATTTCCATTTTTCAGACCCCCTTTTCTCTGGGTCTGTGCCCATGAAAACAAATGTGCTTCTAATAACCCTTCCTTCCATCTGCTTCCTCTTCCTGCTCCCCCAACTATGTAAGCATTTCATAAAGGTACCCTACTAATTAATTTACAGTCTGGTTTTTGGCAGACCTTTCTGTGGAACCTATTTACTTAATGTAGTTCTTTTGGAGAAATGCTTGAGAAAGATTTTGATATTCATCTAAATTTATTAAGAATTGCTAAGGGTGAAAAAAGGCAGGGATGGGAACAGAACAGTTTAAACCACAATCCAAAGAAACTGCCTCCTCTTACAAATTTATCATAGAAATTCAACCATTAAAACAAAATGTGAATTTTTCCAGAAATAATTCTCTTTTCCTACATTTTAAGAGTACTTCATATAAATCAAGCCTAACATTAAAAACAACAATAACAACAAAATCAGATTTGCCAAAAGGAGAAAATCAGGTTGACAATTGTTTCCTGCAGGATTTATCAGGTTATTCCCCCAATTAGCAACTTCTGTTGCATATAAAATTTAAGAGGAAGGAAGGGAGAAAGGAAGGGAAAGAAAGAAGGAAGAAGGAAGAGGGAAGATAAGCTTTTCAAGAACACATTCACTGACAAAAATAAAGAATAGCTGAGAAAGCATCTTGACCTTTTTGTCAGAATTCTAACACGTGCTTTGCAAATGGAAAAGCACCTGCCACAACAAAACACAATGTTCCAGGTGACAAGAAAATGTGATCCCCAAACAGCAAACATTTTAATCAATAATTCTTACCTGGGCAAAAAAGAATGAATACAGGGTTTGATATAAAGGGGATTAGACACCAGTAACTCAATAGAGACAACAAAGATCATTGTTCATTTCTCCAAGGATGTGTAGTTGTCTTGAGCAAGCTCTTCGTGATCCTCCTCCAGCCTTCATCATTTTCCCCTGTAAAATGTGAGACATCACATACTCCATCACTACAATCAACACAATCAAGGAGAAAAAGATTATTTCATACTACCCTTCTTGGCATTTAGCTTTTCTCAGACTATGCCAATGAAAACAAATGAGGTCATTTGTTTTCTGAGCCTCTTTCCCCAAGATTCCCAGTGCAGAATAACACCTGTGTGACCTTGGACAAGTTATTTGACCTCTTTGTAAAATATCAGGATGACAATACTTGGAGTATCTACCTGCTAGTATTATTGTGACCATTGTTACTAGTCGTGTGTGTGTAGCAAATGCTCGGAACAAACAAAATAATTGTTGAACTGTCCAACATATTCCAATCAACTGTATTCTACAGAGCAATCATTATTGAGCACAGAGGAGGTTAAGTATGGAACTTGGGGGTGTTCCAAACTCCCCATCCTCAAGAAACTCACAATCTATTGCAGAGATTCTCAATCCTAAATGTGCATCAGAATCTCTGAGAGACCTTAAAAAAATACCAGTGTTAGGCACCACCTATACAGACTCAAATTAAATTGTTCTGGAGTGAGTGAGGCCCAGGCACTAAAATTTTTCAAAGCACTCCCAGTGATTCTAATGCTCATTCTTCAACTGCTAACCCATAAGTTTGCTGCTGATTTGGGTGGGTAGCCACTGCCTGTGTGGTCTGTTAGTCTCTGACAGGACCGAAAGCTCCTAGGATGAAGAAAGGTACACCATTATCCATTGCTTCAATCCTCACAAATCACCAAATCCCTCAGAAACTGGTGACCAAGTCAGAGAGAGAGCCCTGAACAGTGGCATGGCTCAGCAGTGAGGTGGAATTGCTTTCAGCTTGATTTCACAGAGGTGTTTGGGCTCCTATGAAAGAAAGTCAAATGGCCCCTACCCAGTGGAGACAGGTGAGATTAGATGCCATACCAGCTACTGTCTTAGGAACTAGAGGCAATGAGCTATGACAGGATTAGAAACCAGTACTTCAATTTATTTGCGTCCTTTATCTTTTCTTGATGTATTTCCTTTTTGTTATTCTTCAATTTTCGAAAAAGTTCAGGGATATAATTCTTCCTAGTGTCTGAGGAAATTCAGGCCCAAGTTCCTCACTAACTGGCTGGAGGCATTACAAGAAACTTCAATCTCTCTCTCCCTGAGGGCAAGCCACAGGGTGGAATTTGGAATCACAGGTGGGCAAATGCTCACAGGGATAGAGAGTCCAGTGGGCCAGATCTAATGCAATTTGCTAAGTCTCCGCTTCCTGCACAGAAGGCAGAGGGCCTGAGTGCATAGGGATCAGGAGTGTTATAGAGATGGCCTTGTAAACCCATCTCCAAAAATGGATTCTCAGAAAGTGTACCAGACATGGGCAGTTAGTTCACACATTGGTAAGGGATATTGAATAGAGGCAATCATGCCCTCCCTGTCCAAGAGAACTAAGGATAACCTGAGGAGTTCAGAGTTTTAATTGTTGTTGTTGTTATTTTTGTAGTAAAATTCACCATTTTAAAGTATACAAGAGATAATCTGTTTTATGTCAAAAGTACCAAGTCCCAAAACATCCAGAATAAGGAGGAAACAGATGTATTCCAATGCCTTCTACCCATTTCTTCCCTCTATCCTCTCTCTACCTGGCCAGATAGTTGGACTCATCATTCTGGATTTAAGAATCCCTCATTTTTTTTGTGGTTAAGAATCCACTTTTAGGTTTCCCTGAGATCTTGAAAGCCAGGAGAGGAAAAGCTGACTGACAATGAAACAGCTGATATGGAGAAGGGACAGGACAGACATTTATGCTGCAGTCAGGAGAGTCCTTGAGGAAGGTATCGACCGGAACACGTGGTGGAAATGCAGCACAGTGTGCCATATGCATCCTCTCTGGGATCTCGCTTCCCAACCCACAGGAGTGACGCTAGCTATGCTATTGTGTCTACTTGACTTTACTTGTTTGGATATTCCCTAGTTACACAGTGCTGCTTATATAAATGCCCTGTTTGCTTAAGACTAGCCAAAGTCATCCAGGTTTTTCACAAGAACCTCTCTAACATGATGACGCTCCAGGATCCTGCCTCACTAGGAATCCATAGCTCAAAAAGTGGAATGGATAATTATGAATTAATGCACTCCACTATTGTCATGTAAGAAATAAATTTTAAAAATACAAAAAAAAAGGAGAGTTAGTAAAAGGATAGAATGGGTAGTTTCTGGAAAACACTCATGAGCATATTCCAAACCCCAGGGGGGTGGTGACTCCTGATTTGTAGGAAATCCATTTTCCAAGACAGAATTTATAGCTTTTTTCTTTTACCTCTTCTGAGTCCCCTCATATCAATGTCCACACCAGCTGGTCAGGCTTTAGGTAACTTGATGTTACCCATGTTGAAATTCAAAGCAATTTGGCATTTCATAATTATGTGGGCTATGTTCTGTGCAACAACCTAATAAAAGCCTAGATGACTGTTTTCATGACCAGAGATTAAGTGGCCTAGAATCCTTTAATCTACAAAGCAGAACGTTCTAATGTAGACAATTACTGAGCTGTCCTCCACATTCCTCTGTGATAAAGATGAGGAGACCTGGCCAGCCCTGGGGCAAGGTGAATTGTGACCTAAAGCAAAAAATGATCCTTAAAGCAGACTTTCAGGAGCCTGACTATAGTGAAAATCTAGCAGGTTATCCCATACTCCTTTATTGTTTAAAAAGACTCAATTATTTTGATGAGGCTGGAGTGAGAAATATATAATATAATACAATAGGATCTTACTGGAAGACATCCAAGGGCAGTGTCTGAAAACCCTGCTTGGGTTTCAAAGGGCTCTTGTTTATATACCTGCTGTCTTTCTTCCCAGAGTTCTCCTATCACACACTCTAGCTTTGTAATGGTTAAGAGGATGGTCTCTGAAGCCAGACTTCCTAAGTTCATATTGTCAGTTCCATCATTCACTAGATATATACCTTGAGCAAGGTACCTAAATCCCTCAGTGTCTCTGTTTCCCTCTGTAAAACAGAACTAATAATAGTACTCATCTCATATGGTTGTTGTGAGAAGTAAGTATCAATTCATTTAATACATGTTAAGTGTTTGGACCCATTCTTGGGATTTAGGAAGCATCTGATAAGGAAAAGCTGAGACTTTGGTCAGCAGGATGGCAGAAGAGGAATTCCCCAGCTTCACTCCCATCCACAGAAATAAGCTTTCAACTATCCACAGGCAAGAATACCATTCTAAAAGTTAGAGCCATTATTATTCTGGGCCTGGTTCAGAAAGGAAAATATAAGAGAATACCTGAGAAATGATGAACAGCTCACAATGCGGCCAACTACTTTGCCACATATCTGAATTGAAATATGAGATAGAGTTACCTTACTTGACATTCACTTTTAAGAAAGTTTACTAAGTAACCACCACAGTGGAGGGCCGAATGATGTGAGAATAATGGCAGATGAGGGTGGCAAGGCAGACTCTTGTTTGGGACACACAGCCAGTATGTCCAATTGAAAAGTTAAATGGTATTCCCTGTGTTGCACAAAATACTAAATTTAAAGTGGCAAGTGACAAGAGATACAGTTCTGGATAACATGAAGGTTTCATTCTAGTAGAAGAGACTGATTTAAAACAATAATAAAAAACTGTGTCGCACTTAATGAAAGATAAGTGCAGAGTGTTATAAAGGAGGGAGTGTCATGGAAAGTGATGAGAGCTGAAGGACAAACAGAAGTTACCCGGGCAGAGGCGGGAAGAATTCCAGATGGAGAAAGCAACAGTGCAAAGGCCCCTGGTTCAAGGAAAGGGACTGGTTCAAGGAGGTGAAAGAAGCCCAAGGGTCTTTAGATAAAGACAGCAGGTGGGATAGGAGGCAAGAGAGCTGGCAGATATATGTACCATCATTCTTTACTGAGTTTTACTGGGTGAAGGAAGAACACGGCCCTTAGGTCTCCTCCACATTTTCTGTCCACAACATTTTTTAGTTACTTCATTGGTAGAAAACTTCAATTTTTTTTTCACAAAAGGATAATAAGTACTGAAGCTTCTTACTTACTTATGACAGCAGTTAAAAATATATCTCTTCATGCAGTGGGTATTTCGTTGGAGAGCAGCCTGGTCTTTCAAGGTTATCATTTATTTCAAAGGTAGAATCTTCCTATAAAACACATCCAGAAATTGTACTGCCACAACGTAATAGAGATCAGTAGTTTTTGTGTGAGCATCCCATACATCCCAAATCTGTGGTGTTCGCTGTATGTGTGGGTATGTAGCTTCCCTCCCTCCTTCCTTTCTTTCCTTCCTTTCCTCCCTCCTTCTTTTCTTTCTTCCTTCTTTCATTCTTTTTTCCATTCCTTCCTTTCTTTTTTTCTTCATTTTAAAGAGAGTCCTTTACTTGGAAAGGTTGCGAATTAAGGTAAAACCAATAACTTCACAAAGAGGAAGTAATCCACTACTCTCATTGTTACAGTAATCAATATCCACCTATAAATGTCATCCCATAAATTTAGTACATGCCAGTATTTAACAAGCCAAGGTGACCAATTCAACTATATATGGCATGGTTATATCCAGACACCGAGTGTACTGCTAACCTTTCATTTGTATTCTTTTGCATTGTTAAAGGTGGCTTAGTTGCAGGTCTGTAGTACACATAAAGTCCTGGATATATCTACCAATGGATCAGAATACTCCTAACACCCACATGTAAGTCAAACAGCCAAAATCGCCTTATTAAATTTTAGAAAAACTTTCTTCAATCTTACATGGACCACACACACACCCCATATTCTTCTCTGGACTGGGTTCCCAAGTGTAGAGGAAATGTGCTACAGACAAGTTAGACCATCTTCTCTCAGTCCTTTAAAAGGACCCCTTCACGGGACCTCCACTCCATGAAAGGTGTGCACCAAAGTAGCTGCCACTCATTCCTCAGATCTAAGCTCCTCCTCCTCTTCCTCCCTGGCTCTTAACTACTCACGTGCCCCTGCTGCACACTCTCAGGTCACCTTGTACTCTCCGTGGTAAATGTCACAGTTGTACATTTATTCCTGTAGTTACTTGATTAATGTGTGTTTCCCTCACTAGACTGCAAGTTCCAGTTCCCTTATTACTTTGTCAATAAAGATTTAGTTTCATCGGAACTCCTAACCTTGTTCACATGCTGCTGAGCTCTGTGGGATGTAAGAAGACTGCATACCCTTTCATGGATCTTCTTCCATGTGGGCTGAGAACCAGGATGGAACCTGCTCAACAGAGTAAACAGAGTGAAGTATTATACAGCTACTAAAAATGACACTGTCTTGGCTGGAGATGTGGCTCAAGTAGAAGTGCGCTCGCCTGGCATGTGCGAGGCACTGGGTTCAATCCTCAACACCACATAAAAATAAAAATAAAGATATTGTGTCCACCTAAATCTTTAAAAAATAAACATTATGTTAAAAAATAACACTGTCTTAAAAGTACATAACAAACACGGGTTGATACTAAAAATTTAATCATAAGAAAAACAGCAACATGCAAAATGGTATACATAGTGTAATTTCTTTTTAAAAATTTTTTAGTTATACATGGACAAAATACCTTTCTCTTTCTCTCTTTCTCTCTCTCTCTCTCTCTCTCCCTCTCTTTCTTTCTTCTGCTAAGGATTGAAACCAGTGCTTCCCCCCGCCGCCCTCTCTCTTTCTGAGAGGATTGAAAATAGTGCCTCACACGTGCTAGACAAGTGCTCCTTCACTGAGCTACAACCACAGTCTAACATGGTATAATTTCAATACCTTTATAAAACTTACACATAAGAAAATAACTAGGGAGCAGGAACAACCAATATATTTTTTTAAAAAATGGTTGTATGTGAATGTGGGGCTAGGAGAAATTAATTCTTTTCTTCTTCAGACTTTGCTGTGTTTTTCAGATAGTTCTCTAAAGAACAAATCTTGCTTTTACATTTAAATTTTCAATCCCTCAATTTTTCATATAAAATTTAAGCCCTTATTTTCTACCACAAGGATTTCATTTTATATCTCATTTAATTTAGACTACCTGGACCCCAAACTTAACCACAGACCTTATAATGTCCTTCAGGTCCTCAACATGGAGCATTTTTGCCTGTCCATTAGCATTTGCCAAGACCTCTGCCTACAACACCACCACCTCCCAATCCCTATCCCTACTCTTATTAACTCTTAACTATACTTCTGGGCTCAGTTCTTTTGCTGACTTCCCAAAGAGTCTCACCTGAGCCGTCTTTTGTAGAGGAGGTCAGCTGACCTATTATATGCACTTAGAGTTCCATTTCCCAATACCACATTCATAGCACTTCGACCAGTGAACATTTTGTTATTATCTGGTTAATGTCTTTCTCCCCTCCTAAGACTGATATTGGAATGAGACTCTGGTTAACAGCTCATCCCGGGAATAGTAGGTATCAAATACCACAGTAAGTATTTAAAGACTATTGCTTAGTGGTGAATTCATTCATTCATTCATTCATTCACTCACTCATATTTGGGAGGGGGTAAATACCAAATCCTAAATTCTGTGGTCAAACTAAACTAAAAGTGTATATAGCAATTTGATAATGAAAAGCATAGATACTGTTTCCTAAAAATGCCTAAAGAATTTCAGCAATTTAGATGAAAGCATTCTCTACTGTTATTTATGGCTGACAAACATTGGAAATGGTAGGAGCATTTGGGAATACAGTTATTATAACCACTAAGCTAATAACTCCTGTACAGTTGCCCTTCTGCATAGCTCCAGGTCCATCCAGCTTCTGATCACAAGTCTCTCTGTAACAAGCATGTCCCACTGGTTTCCAGAGAGACAAGACACCAAGGGTAGAAATGACTCTACTCCAAACCATTACCAACCCCGAAAAACAATTCACAGCAAACAAAAGCCTCCCCTAAAGTACTGATGTATTTAAGAAATGACCACACATATCATTTGTAAATTTCTCCAAGAATTTTTAAGAGGAAGAAATAGAAATATTTTGAAGCTATAAATCAAATTAACATTTAAAAATAGCTACCAGCTGGACACTGTGTATGCTTTTTTATAAGTCTCAAAATACAAAAGGAATTCCCACATTCACATACAGTATAAATACATATGTTGCATGTTACCTACAATCTATTCTACATTTGAGATTCTATTCTTTGAGAATGATGAGCCAGCAGACTGGCTCAGTGCTGTTTATTTATTACAGCTTTGTCCATGTTATTCACCTTCTCATGTGGAAGGAAGAGTGAGGATGTACATTGAAGGGGGTGTGACCCTATCCAGATGGTAGAGATAGGGGTTGGGCTGGAGAGTGTTCCTTTCTCCTTTGGGACTACTATTTTTTACCTTGATAGTCAAAGGACTTTGCATTTCTTCCATTCAACCCTTAGGCTGAATCTCAATCCAAAATCTCACTCCAAACTATCCCTATGACCTCAGACCTTACTGATTTCAGTATTAAGATAGGAGAATCTCAAGAGGTGTTTCTCATGCACTCTTGGGATCTGGGCACAGAGACTGGTTCTGATGGTACTGCTGTGAAAAGAATCATTGGTAAGTTGGGGACAAGGTGCTGATAACCCTTCCTGTTCCAGAAGCCTGTCTTTGTAATTACTCTAAAATCAATGGGGAATGAGGTGTTCCCCAAGTATATGACGGGTATATCCTCCAATCAAACAGCTGCCTTAAACTCCTCTGGAGTTCAGGTGACCCCATCTCTTGGGTTGTCCTGGACCCAGAGGTTTCCCAGGAAGCAGAACTTTGGGCTCTAAAGTCAGGACAACCATGGGCAAACTGGATGACCTTTTTGTGGCCATGGCATTCTTTTGTCATTATGGATTATGGCCTCATTTACAAACTCATAGTCCAATTAGGTCCAAAGTTAGTTGCTTAGAGTGACTCTGGACACACAGAATTCTCTGTCTCATTATAAATAGCTAATAAAATGCTGGTCTGAAGACACACCTTCCTAAAGGTGACATTGCAAAAGCTTCCCACTCTCTTCTAAGCAAAGCCCAAATTCCTCAGATTGGCATCCTCTGCCCCTCAGATCTTTGAGCACTGACACTCACTATCCCCCGCAAAACTCAGAGACCGACAGTGCCCTGCAATCTTATCTCCAAGCCCTCACTCCCATTAACTCTATCATACACTAGTCTCCTTCCTTGGGGGCCAAATGAAAATGCTCCCTCTTCCACAAAACATTCCAGAAGTACCATTCTCCTCCTTTATACTCTAGTAGCATTTGTCTGCTTTATTCACAAAGTTCTGCCTGTAGAAAGCTCTTTGTACATTTTTCCTTTCTTTTTAATTCTGTGCTAGGTTCAAGTTCTCAGAGTCAGGAGAAATAAGTTAAATGTCAAGTATTCCCATTCCAGGCAGAGCAGATTGGTTAACAGTCCTGTTTTCCCTCTGAGACACTCTTTTAACCATAGAGATTCCACACTCTAACCATACACTTAATTCTAATCTCAACTGATACTGACTCAAAAAACATGAGGCAATTATGTCATCCAGAGAATCTCTGACCTGCTCTATAAAGACAGTCATAAAAGTCTGGTTGAATGAATGCATAAGCCATTTCACAGGCAGAAGGAGAAACGAGGCCTTCCCAGATCTCCCTCAGGAAGGAATTAATCTCCTCCTGCACCGTCTTTCCCCTGCATTTGGAATGTACTTCCATTAAGTACATAACACAATCCATTTCATACTTAATGGGATGGGATTCTGTCTGCCTTCTCATCTAGTGTGTAAGCAACTGGGAAGCAGACATGTCATGACCGTGTAAATGGCACATAACAGTTGCCCAATAACTGCACACTCAGTTCAGTCTCTCAGAAAAGCTTGCTGAACTGATTCTAAGGAATTTGGAAGATGTATATAAATACAACACACGGACAAAAGCTGTGGGCTTTTCCTACTTCTGGCAGCAGAGAATTAATTGTTGGTTGAAAGAAGATGGATCTTTGATCATCACATTCATCTTAAGGATCACAAAACTGAGGTCTAAAAGGTTGGATATTTGTGAGAGATCAAACAGCACTTATAAGACAAGCATGAGAGCCAAGTCTCCCAATCACCATCAGTTAAAGGTTCTTCCCACTCTCCATTTCAAATCAATCTCTACCAGGGCTGGGCTTGTGACTCAGTGGTAGAGCACTTGCTTAACATGTATGAGGCACTGGATTCAATTCTCAGCATCACATATAAATAAGTAAATAAATAAAAGTCTATCAAATCAATTCTCTGCAAGTTTCTGAATTTGGGATAACCCCCCATTTTGCCAACCTGCTACATTCCAGTCTGATGGCAAAAGTATAAACCAGGAGTCAATGGAGACTAGGCACAGAGACAGGTATAAGTGTGTGGTCTAACCACCTATCTCAATGTGCCAATGCTGGTTTTCAAAAATCTATATTATATTATTTTCCAATAAAGTCAATAATCAAGAACTCACCATACATTAATAGATATTATTAAAATAATTACCTTGTTTCCTTAAATGAATTAACATTTTAATATAGTTATTCTATCATTCTGAAAAACACTAAAAATGGATTGCCACTTTCCTCGTGTACCTCAAATTTTACATAGTTCCTGTTAAAATCTCAGGGCCTATTTGGTTCTGGGATATATTTACTATGAATTCCTTTATGATCAACAGTATTCTTTTGGTATGGGCATTTCTTTCTTATTCTGTTCACTAATAACACAGAGAAAAGAAAATGGGCATATCTTTCCCATTTAAAATAAAATAACTATCTTTAAAATATTATTTTCAGTTAAGGTGATCATCTGTGCTGGCTTGCCTAAGACTCAGAGGATTCCTGGAACTTAGAGGGCTCAACTCAGGGCAGACCCAAGGAACGTGGGCATTTGGTCACCTTCCCAGAGTGCAGTTTGGCAAATGCAGATTCTAGCTTTTAGCTCTCTGGTCTGTCCTCCAGACATATGCAAATGTATTTTGATTATCTGTGATAATAATGTAGACAAAGAAACAAACTATCTCTAGAAAAAGAAAATACATCCACATGTTAATACACTTGTCTTTGGCAGGACTATGAGAAATTGTTTTTCACTTTTTTTTCATTATTTTCTAAGATTTCTATAGCAAAGATTTTTATACTGATGAAATAAAGAGCTTTAATTTTAAAATTTACAATAGATAAAAATGTATAGATAAAAAGTATCTATACCAGTTAGTTGTCTATCCATTTCTTAGAGATGTTTTCCAGAGGCAAGAGAAAAGGCTCAATTCTGACTTTGGGGTAAATTTTAAAAAGAACAGTCATTTTTTTTTTTTTTTTTCATATCAAGGTATCCTCAGAAAGCAAACTAATGAAGTGACTGGGCTTTTCTGCTGCCAGACCTCAGTGCTCTCTTCAAGCAGAGATGAGTGCTAACCTTTCTCGGAGAAAGGGCTGATCCAGAGGGCTGGTAGAGCTGGATTGCTGGGAGATGGCAAGTGAAGCTTCCCGGTGGAAATCGGCATCCCCTTGGTTCTTGGGCAAGGGCTTTCCAAACTTACTTGAATTTAAACTTGATGATGATTCATTCCTTAAGACAATCCGTTCATCTGGCTCTTTGATAACCTGAATGACAATAGTTGTGCATTATTCTTTATTTTTTTTGTTTTGTTTGCTTAATTTAGAGCCAGGGGTTGGGTGGGACAAGGAAGAGAACTGGGAGTAAGATGATAAAATACTTGTCCCTGCAAATGAAAGAGGAACTGCAATGCAGAAGACTATAGAGACAAAATGCTCAGGAGTCAAGGTTAAGGAAAAATAACCCACAGCCTGTGTGTTTAGCATATATTAATAGGGCAAAATAAATTAATGCTTTGAACTTTGATTTCTGAGGATGGGGGATTATTAGTCTGGAAAACATATATATGCATATATATATACACATATATATACAAATTTTTTAAATGCTATGGCATAAAAAGCATAGTATATTCAATTTGCTCTGCACATATATATTTTCAAGTCATACCATAGAAGCCTGAGCCTTCACTTTGACAAACCAAACTTCAAGAACAAGTGATTTACCACCTCTATGTATAAACATTCAATTACAGAAAAAGCAATGAAAATCACTACTGATAAAGTAGGTAATAGGCCCCTATATACACCCTCCTAGGTAACTCATCCTACAATTGAAAAGAGGAGAGGAAACTAATAAGTCCCAAAGCAAAGAGTACAGTGGAACTTGGGCACCTCTTTGCATAAACCCTAGTTAAACTAAAGCAAGTCCATATAAGCAGCACTAACTGGAAATACATTTCCACAACTGATTGCAGAAAACCCAGTAATTGACATAAGATAGCTGGAAATTAATCATTTTACAAATGCTACTTCTAAAATTACCTTTATGTTTGCTGCAATGCTGTCAAGAGAAGAAGCTAGAAGAAAGAGGAACAGGTGTTTGAATGACTCATTATTACCATTAGCCCTAAAACTGCTGTTACATTTATTCCACAGCAGTATATAAATTTTAGACCATGAATGAGTTATTAAAAATCTTAAATGCTCCCTTGTAAATTACACTATCACTTTTAAATCTCCATTTAGTCACTGCAATTCTATTTCTGTCTTCTTGAAGTCAAAAGTGAGGTTATAATTTAATGACACCATGTATGTGAAGGGTTAAGGTAAAGCAAACCTAAAGTGAAGCAATAAGTTCAATTCCTCTATGCAGCCTTATGCAGAAAAAAACTATATTTGCCTAGATGCTCAGAACCTAAAAAAAAGTAATGTGGGTCTAAAAAAATTCATATACTCTGCCTCTTCTGCCATTTTCTTTGGTTTTTATAGGATTATATGCAGGAGCTCTTGAGTATATTGTCCAAGGTAGACACAAATGTTAAATTGAAACAATGAATACATAAGAGCTTAGAGAAATATAAAGCAGCAACAATGGAAATCATTATCACCCTAAATAAATATGAGAAGTATATAGAATACCAGAAATGCTAAGGATGATAGGAAGTGAAGTAATAAATTCACATAGAGAAAACTAAGGTGAAGTTGGATTTTTCCAGGTTGGGAAAAAAATGATTTTGAAATAAAATATTTATAAGATGATGCTGATGCCACCCTGGCTTCCCCCAGTGTGACTGGGGATTAGGCAGTAACAAGGACCTTTCCTGGATGGAAAATTCCCCCTTGCCACTGGTAATAAGAAGGAAGACTTTTTAAAAAAACGAGTTTTCAAAGTCTGGTAGTTTTCATATCTTCTGAGTCACAAATATGTGCATTTTCATCTCATCCCAGGAGCTCTCCTCTGCCACCCTGAGCTGGACAGGGCATTGGCAGTGCTAAGGTCCTTGCAACAATAGCCACAAACCTGCCCTGGGGCCTAGGAACCCCTTGCTCTGATTTTGAGCACTCCTTGCACAGAGGGCTGGCTTTTGTTCCCTCGCTTCTCAAAGTGCAGCCCATGGACTAGCAGCATCAGTATCACATGGAGACTTATTAGAAAAAAAGGATCCTGTAACCTTTCTGGAACCTTAGTTTTCCACCTGCCAGGATAAAGAAACGACTAAGGCTGAGACCTTGTGATATATGAGTCCTGTTGTATTCAAACCAGCATTAAGCCCAACTTGTCCTTCCCAGGGAAGGACATTTGCTTCTGCTTAATTTCACTGTAATAGGAAAGACAGTGCTGCTTTTACAGGCCATGTGGATGATTTCAATTCACAGAACTTAAATTAAATGTCAGAGGTGATGAAGCACTTTCTGCTTCAAACCCTATACTCTGACCTTGGTCAGCTACTATCAGACAGTCACCATGATCTAAGAATTCTGGCCTGAGTTGCCATAAAAGACTCTGCAGCCCCCTAAGAGTACAAACCTTTAAGCCTAAGACAGAGAACTCTATTGTCAGGAATGGGATAAGACCAGTCCTACCAGGAGACAAGGGAAAAGGAACCACCACAATCCCTTCCTAATCAAATAATTTTGATTACGTTCAGGAATGGTTGAATGGTTGAATTGGCTACCTTGACCTTCACTATTGACATGATTCACAAATCAAAGTCAAAAGGTAAAGGACACTCAGGAATGCCTTAACCCAGCAATTCTCCATGTGTACTCCAGGAACCTCCCTAGGGGTTCCAGAGACCTTTTAAACTATTTTCAAAGTCAAATTGTTTGCATAATAATACTAAGCCATGATTTGCTCTTTTCACTTTCATTTTCTCACAATCCTAACAAAGGCTACCATGACATGTCATAATATCACTGTGCTGATGGCTAATGGAATTTGTGTTAGTGTTTTATATTTCTTAAATGTCTTAGTTTTAACTTCTAACATGCTAAATATTGATAGACATTATCCACCTCAACAAAAGCTCTTTGGATAATCAACAATATTTAAAAATGGACAAGTGTCCTGAAATCTAAAGTTTTGAGATCCCTGCCTTAACCAAACTGCTTCAGATAGAGTTGGCTCCCTCCTCACTGATAGGGAATCTTGTATAGCAAATGCTATATCTCCTGATCACCATCAATCTTTTACTCTTTACCACTTGGAAAAAATGGCAGACAAAATAGCTTTTTTGTTAGCTATTAATGGTGCCTTTGCAAGGAGTTCATACCCAGACAGACTGCTGTCTGCTTTTTCAGCTCTGCCAAAGGACAAATGCAATACTTTGTGGGCAATAATACTCAGGACAGTCCCCTTCAATAGAAGGGGGACTATCCAATTGATGGCTTGGAGGCTTGGTTGCCTCAGCTCCATGGGAACACCCTCTGCGAACATCACAGATGGAGAGTCCTTCATAGTCAGGCCCATGGTGTCCAGTGTAACTTTTGATTCCTCAAAATGAAAGAAAATAAGTAGGATGCACTTGTTCTCATAAGAATTATGTACAGGTGTAACAAGAAACTTTAGTACCTCTTCTTATTGGAAATGGGAAGTTTGGAAACTTAGATTTTCTTCTAGACTTTCGTGAATGATGCTCTGAACTATTTTCACCAAAGGGCTTTGCACTGTCCACCTGAAAATAAAGAAAAAATAAGACTACAATCTAAAGTAGGTTTTATCCCTTATCCTTATTATCCCTATTACCTAAAAATGCCTTTCTCCTCCTCAATCATTGATTAGATAGCTTGGAAAAGAGAAAGTTGAAAAACAAAAAAATCACAGTCTCCAAGTATGTTAGAGAAACTGTTTGTCCTTGTCTTCACTGAGGCTTCATTGAAGCTAGAACATGAGGATACAGGCTACATGTTAGCATAAGGAACTAAAGTTGAACACAAATTACATTCTAATAACTGATAAGGATGGAGCAGAGTAGGAAGCAAGCAAAGCTTTATTTTGATCTTTTAAAGAGAGGACAGAGTTTCATGTTTCTAAATAGTATGAACACTGCTGGCTCAGGCAGGGATCTCTCTGAAAGCAAGGGATTGCCACAAGGTAACATTTCAGCCTTCTACATTCCCTTCCAGTCTGAGAGTATTTGTAGGTATGTTGTCTATTTGGTAGTTTCTAGCAGTAAGTTCTGACTTCCTAAAAACTAACTACTTTAACATCATCTTAACAGTACCTTGACTTTCAGACTTATTATGCCTCACTATATGTCAAATACAGAAACATTACAACTAGCAACTTTAATATCAACTTAACATATTATCAATATTTAATATTCTGGATAATAAGTCATTAACTAGAACATGGAATGATGTTTTTGAGGAGTATAAAATAATATAGAAAATTCTTTTAAAGCAATGTTCATGGTGGCTCACACCTGTAATCCCAGCAGCTCTGAGGCAGGAGGATCACAAGTTCAAAACCAGCCTAAGCAACATAGCAAGCCCCTCAGCAATTAAGCAAGAACCTGTATCAAAATAAAAAATAAAAATGGCAGGCTGGGGATGTGGCTCAATGGTTAAGCACCACTAGGTTCAATCACTGGCACAAAAAAAATAAATAAATAAATAAAAAGCAATGCTAACTAAAATATATCAGGAAATGAAGGTGTATATACACTAAATACACTAAAATTATAATTCGATAAAACCTATGAATACAAAAAAGACAGAGAAAATGAACCAAATTAAATGAAATAATGATTTTACTATGTTAGTGAGCCTATGGGTAATTTATTTTCTTGAACTTTGTCATATTTTCCATTGTTTTTATAGTACAACATTTAAAAATTGTAAAGAGATTAAGAGAACTAAAGCAATTAAATTTGCTCACTACTTCCTGCAGGATAAATTTAAAGTGCCTCTAATTAATGGCTGTGAATATGGCATATCCTTGCTTCTTCCTACAAACATATTCTCTCTGCTCTTCAAAGTATGGCTGCTGGGACACCAATCTCATTGAGAAAACCAAAGCAGTTTTCTTTTAAACTGACGAAACTTCAGTTTTGAATTGAGAGAGTACACACCAGCCTATCTTCAACTCCCAGCAGTTCACAAACTCTTGAAATATGCTCTAGGAATAATTTTTTTTAATTAAAAATAGGGATGTTGACATTTGCCAAGCAAGTTCTCTGTATGAGATACCTTTAGAGGAGCTTCCTGGAATTATTCTAGGAAAGAACATAATTTATTCACAGTTGTTACTTAATTTGAATTCCCTCTTTATTTACTACTACTCATTTGTTTTCATGGCCCAACCTTCCTTTATTCACATCATCATCTACATCCTGACCATTCCAAAGTATTCCAAAAAGTAATTTTAGGCTCACATGTCTAACCACGAAAGGAGGCTTCCCTTCTTCAGAGATTTTGAAGTTGTTTCCAAGGTTCATCTGAGCTGGTTTGTCAAGGAAGAAACGTCTGGTGGAATATGGAGAGGGCGTCCGGGGCTGAGTGCCTCTGGGCTGTCTATCAGGACTGTTCTCCTTTGGCTTTTTATTTTTATTATTTAAGGGAAACACTGGTCGACGTGATGTGGATAAAGGCATTCGTGACTTACATCTTTCTTCCTGAAGTAAAATATATATATATATATATATATATATATATATATATATATATATATATATACACACACACATATATATAATATATATTACAATAAAAGAAAATTTAATCTGAATATAATAGTATTTAATTGAACTTTTGAAAAATACTAGTGAAAAATGTACAAAATGATATGTTCATGGTATGATCCAAATCTTTTAAAATAGAAAAATATATGTGTATGTGTACTGAATATAATTTTTTAAGTCAAGCTTATCTCTAAATGGTAATAATTACAGGTGATGTTTGTTTTTATCGTGTCCCCTTTTTTCTTACCTGTATTTTATCATTTTCTAAAATAAATGTGATACTTTTGTTAGTTATTCATTTTAAAAGTTCACATTTAGAAGGCAGACTATAAGGAAGTTAAACAAGTTAAAATGGTAGAATGGAAGAAAAAGATAGACTGAAAAATTGTCATGAACATATCACAAATAAACTGGAGAAAATGGAGGACTAATAAAGAGAAATTTAAAAGCAATTACTATGTCTGGTAAGGTGGCATACTTGTAAGCTACCAGGGAAGCTGAGGCAGAAGAATGACAAGTTTAGATCAGACTGGGCAATTTAGTGAAACCCTATCTCAAATTAAAATAAATAGGGCTGGGGATATAAATCAATGCCCCTGGGTTTAATCCCCAGTATAGTGGGGGGAAAGTAGCTAATGTCGTCCTTAAAATTAATTACTGGTCTCCATTCTGTGAGAACTGTTAGATTTTCATAGATTAGTGGCCCTTCTAATAGTGCCCCTTAATCTGTAGTTCATAATTTCAAGGTATTTTCTACAACTACTATGAGATTAGGGATAAGCACTTTACTATTAATTTTATTCTACCTTGTCCTAAAGTATTTGACAAAGCTTTACACTTTATCTTCATTTCTTCTCCATTCCGTTCTAGAAAGAATTTCTAATGGCTATGTGCATTAAGGTAAAAGAAAGACTGAAAAAAATGAGGATGAAGAGAAATTAGGAGTGAAAAAGATGGTAGTGTGGAGGTGATGAGCACAGGTGCCCTGAGCTCTTCATACCTACTGAAGATGGACTGCAGATGCAACTCTGAAGTTAAGCCTCAGCAGAAGAAAGAAGGAAACAAAATGTTCACAAGACCACCATTTGACCCAGTTATCCCCCTCCACGGTCTATATCCCCAAAGACTTAAAAACAGCATACTACAGGGACACAGCCACATCAATGTTTATAGCAGCACAATTCACAAAAGCTAAACTGTGGAGCCAACCTAGATGCCCTGCAGAGGATGAATGGATAAAAAAAAAAAAAAAAAGTGGCACATATACACAATGGAATATTACTCAGCAATAAAAGAGAATAAAGTCATGGCATTTGCAGGTAAATGGATGGGGCTGGAGAAGATAATACTAAGTGAAGTTACTCAATCCCCAAAAAACAAATGTTTTCTCTGATAAAAGGAGGCTGACTCATAGTGGGGTTGGTAGGGGGGGCATAAGAGGAATAGATGAATTCTAGATAGGGTAGAGGGGTGGGAGGGAAAGGGAGGGGACAGGGGATTAACAAGGATAGTGGAATGTGACAGACATCATTATCCAAAGTATATGTATAAAGACATGAATTGGTGTGAATATACTTTATATACAAACAGAGATATGAAAAATTATACTGGATATGTGTAATAAGAATTGTAATGCATTCTGCTGTCATTTATTTTTTAAAAAATCAATTAAAAAAACAAAATGTTCACAAGATCAACAAACAAACAGAACAATAACTGGTCGATTATGTCAAACTTGTGATTTTAATGTCTAAATTATCCACTTCTACACCATACCAAATACATGCCAAACATATCCACTCTAATGTGATAGGCTGAGCGAACAGTGCGAATATAGAAACCTAGCAAAAAACTTTACAGGTTTCTATTTGTTCAGTTGCATTTAAAATTTAAGTTTGTGGAAAAAATTCTGTCATTTCTATTGCTGTCTTTTGATTATACTTACATGAAATCTGTTTCTATGCAGAAACATACATTCTCGGATGGCTGTCCTTGTAGAAAATTCTAGTTTGGGAGCAATGCCCTAAAAATAAAATAGCATAAAAGAAGTAATTAAATTACTAGAAACAGTTCTTTCCATATCTCATCCTAACTTGAAATCATGCAAGAACCTAATTGCCCTTCTGTGGTTGGCATAATCCACATATATTATCTAAAATATATACATAATAAGAATAGCTAAAGACTTACATAATATGTATTATTTACTAGATCCAGAACTAAGTATGTTGAAAATATTAACTCCTCTAATCCTAACATAACTCCATGAAGCAGGTCCTAATAGATCTCCATTAGTAGATGATTAAACTAATATACAGTTTGAATAACTTATCCAGTGTCCATGCTATTAGTTACTCTGTTTATCAAGGGACAATGAAATTGAATGAGATAACTAGAAGGAGGGATAGATAAAGATTCTCTTTTCTTGTCTTTGAAAAACTTGTTTTATATCTTATATCAAATATTCATATTCATCAGAATTATTTCCAAACTCAAAATGAATTTTGTTTCCTAAACTGATGCTGCTATTTTTCCTCATTACCATACTGTCTAGAAGACTGTTAAAGTACCAAGTGAAATTTAAAATACATATATATGGAAATGCAAAAAAATCCCATTTAGTAAAGGAAAGAAATCTAAATATTAATGAATTGATAAATTATGAGAATAAAATGAATAACTTCCTATAATGTTAATGGAAAAAAGTAGGAGTGGGCTGTAATAAATACAAGAGAATTAGCATCATGCACTAAGAGTGCCAACAATGAAACATAAGGACCCCTGATCTACTACTTACCAGCTCTATGATCTTCAGTACATTTCTGAAACCCCCCTAAACCAGCTTTCCATCCACACAATAGGAAAAAGAAAAGCAGAACAAAGTGCTCACAAGGTGAAGAAGGTTTTAACAAGAAAATCCATGTAATGAGTTCAGCATAGTACCTGCTATCCAGTGAGCACACAATGAACAAGAGCTATCATTAAAACTTCAGCCACGGTTTTTATTTTGTTTTTTGGAATATTTGAGAGAAACAGAGCCCTTCTTTTTACAAACTGTTTAAAATATAGTGCGATTAATGTAATTGTAAGAATTGATAGAAGTAATGTAATTGTAAGAAACTATTTCCATACATTTTTAAAATTCCTTCTCTGATGATTATGTACATTTATAAATAACTATAAACACAGCATCTTACAAGTCCTTCTTTCTGTTTATGCCCATAAAGTTAAACAGATAATGTGAAAAACATAAGATAGTGTGTTTTTCCTTGTCTTGATATTCTGCTGGATTCCAGCCCAGTGTTTAAAGATGACTTGTACAGTGGCATGGGAGGCTGACGCAAGAGGATCTCAAAGCCATCTACACCACTTTAGGGAGGCCCTAAGCAACTTAGTGAGACCCTGTCTCTAAATAAAAGATTAAAAAGGGCTGGAGACATGGCTTAGTGGTTAAGTGTCTCTGAGTTCAATCCCATGTAACAAAACAAAAGACTTTTATTTAACAGAGAATTTGGGCAATATAAGAGTTTCTCTTTAAGTTTTATTCCCTTTTAATTTCTGAAAAGCGATATCCCAGTAACTCACCATAATAAAGGCAAGCATATCATAAGACCATGAGTATAATTGATACAAGATAATGATGTTGGGGAAAAATAGTTTCAGTAATATTTGCCAAAGTCTCAAAAATATTGAAGGGCTTAAAGATAGAGACATTAGGCTGGGCACGGTGGCGTATGCCTATAATCCCAGCGGCTCAGGAGGCTGAGGCAGGAGGATCACAGGTTCAAAGTCAAGCTCAGCAACTTAGTGAGGCCCTGAGCTACTTGTCTCAAAATAGAAATAAAAATGGCTGGAGATATAACTCAGTGGGTTAAGCATCCCTGGGTTCAATCCCTAGTACCAAAAACAAACAAACAAAAAACCAAAACACACACAAAAAAAAGAAAGATCCTTCAGTAATAACAATTAGTGGGCCTCTGTCAATTTCCCCTCTGTTAAATAAAGGCCATAAGATCTGCCTTGGCTAACTTGAGAGATGTTAGGAGAAAAATATTATGCATAAAAAGTTGAAGGCACAAAATAAATGAGAGATAACATTACCACTATTGCTTCTTTACTTAGTCATAATTGCTATGACTAAATAAATCTTTCTGTTAATCCACAATAAGAAGAAGTTGAAAAAGGGTACACTTGTACATTGCTGGTGGGACTGCAAATTGGTGCAGCCAATTTGGAAAGCAGTATGGAGATTTCTTGGAAAGCTGGGAATGGAGCCACCATTTGACCCAGCTATTCCCCTTCTCGGTCTATTCCCTAAAGACCTAAAAAGAGCATGCTACAGGGACACTGCTACATCGATGTTCATAGCAGCACAATTCACAATAGCAAGACTGTGGAACCAACCTAGATGCCCTTCAATAGATGAATGGATAAAAAAAATGTGGCATTTATACACAATGGAGTATTACTCTGCATTAAAAAATGACAAAATCATAGAATTTACAGGGAAATGGATGGCATTAGAGCAGATTATGCTAAGTGAAGCTAGCCAATCCCTAAAAAACAAATGCCAAATGTCTTCTTTGATATAAGGAGAGTAACTAAGAACAGAGTAGGGTCGAAGAGCATGAGAAGAAGATTAACATTAAACAGGGATGAGAGGTGGGAGGGAAAGGGAGAGAGAAGGGAAATTGCATGGAAATGGAAGGAGACCCTCAGAGTTATACAAAAGTACATACAAGAGGAAGTGAGGGGAAAGGGAAAAATAATACAAGGGGGACAAATGAATGCCAGTAGAGGGGGCAGAGAGAGAAAAGGGGAGGGGAGGGGAGGGGAGGGGGGATAGTAGAGGATAGGAAAGGCAGCAGAACACAACAGACACTAGTATGGCAATATGTAAATCAATGGATGTGTAACTGATGTAATTCTGCAATCTGTATATGGGGTAAAAATGGGAGCTCATAACCCACTTGAATCAAAGTGTGAAATATGATATATCAAGAACTATGTAATGTTTTGAACAGCCAACAATAAAAAATTAAAAAAAAAGAAGTTGAGATATCAATTTGCTTGTATAGCTATGTGATAATGCAACTATGTCAATGATTTAGCCTGAATGGATAATAAGACTTCCACCATCAGATCAATGGTAGAAATAAGTATAATTTGGTATCTTGAGCAGGGCATCTAAACAGGGCCCTGAACAGCAGTGAGGTACTAAGCAAGATAAAATTATCTGTCCAAGATCAACACTGTTGAGAATAAAATGTTCATGTTCCAAGAATTTCTCTCCCAATAGAAGCCCAGATGAGCAAGATCACTTACTGGAAAACCTATGGCTGTCTTCATAAGCACCTCTCTATGTATTCCAGGATGTGAAGGTGTCAACTTGGGCTCAGGGAAAAGAAAATCTCGTGTGTTTTCTTCATAGTAGGCCAACTCTTCCCACACTAGAAAAGAAGGAGAAAAGCACAAATATGTGTATCTTCACCCACATTTAACAAAATAAAAGTTCAGACAGACTATGGCAGAGATACAAATAAGTAAAAATAGACTTTTTGGTACCAGCACTTGTTTTTCAAGGGGAAAATAATTTCTACTATTTTGTTATCTCATGGATAATGTTTAACAATTCTCTCAAGTCATAACAGATTAAAGAGACTAAAGGGTTGCTCCACAAAACAGAACAAAGAAGAGAACTTATCTTTCCAACCATTCTTTCATTCTTTCCCTCACCAAATATTTACCAAGGACAAACCTTGGCCACACCCCAGGAATAGACAGGAACAAGGCAGACACACCCCTGCATACACAAAGATTACTTATTTAGATTGGGGTTCATTGTCTGCCAAACAGGGGTGCCACTGGCCCAGAGAACAGCTAAACCTGTGGTTCTCATAAGGTGGTTCTCATCAACCCCAGGGACATTCTGGTCATTTGTGAGGCATTTTATGGGCAGGAGCCAAAGGTGGTAGGGTGTCTTGCAGTGCTCACAATATTCCTGCCTCTTGGACAATGGGCTATCTGCATGATTTTCTATAGTCCTATAAGACATTCTTTCAGGCTAAAAATTGCCTGATGAATATCTGAGCCAAGACCTTAAATCTATGTTACATATAAGTACTAAGCATTTTTTGTGTGATTTTAAAATAAACTGAATTTTCTAAGAATGCGGGTATAGCATATATCAAGGAAAAATTTTACTTTGTATTGTTTGAATCTTCATCAAGACCTGTCTGGCATTTTGAAAACCATGTCACATTTAAATACCTCACTATGCTCAGTTTTATGAACTGACATGCATATCATTTTATTATAAACATCTGTCCTTTTATTTTTCCCTTATATTACAGTTGGAATATTATATTGATTTTCTTTCCACTTGCCTTCCCAGACATGATCCAGCTTATGATCCACAACAACTGATGATGAATCGTCCCTCAATCTTCCCTCTTCTGCAATGTATTCCCCACAGATTATGCTATTCCTTCCTTCTCATTGTGTTGAGATCCTATTCATCTTTCAAGCTTCATCCTAAATGCATTATAGTTTCTTCATCCTAACAGGCCCGAACCAGAAGTCATATTTTCCCAAAAAAATTCAGCTCTCCATTAGCAAGTTCTGTCGACTCTATCTCCAAAGTAAATCTATAATCTGCTTCCTTTGCTTTCTTTATAGTTACCACCCTAACTCCATGCCCCACCCCTTAACCTCTCTCCTGGGTCACTGCTATGGCCGCCTAGGTGATCCCCTGGCTTTCATCGCCCACCAAACCTATTCTCCACACTCTGTGTTATTTTAAGTACATCAAACTGTGCCTTTCATCTGCTTAAAACCTTCCAATAGTCTTCCCAAATATTAAAATAAAACTTAAGCAACTTACCCCAGCCTTCAAGACTCTACATAATCAGGCCTCTCGTCACCTTCTCCTACTTTATTTATTATCCTCCCCCTGGGTTGTTTCCTGTCATCACTGCTGCCCATCCTTGCTGTCCCTCAAACATACTAAGTTCGCCTCTATTACAGAATTTTGTCCTACTGTTCTCCCTGTAGTATTCCTCCCCCTAGCCCTTGAATGGCTGGCTCCCTCCTATCAAATGATAGACTTGACTTAAGTATCATCTCATCAGAAAGTTAGCAACTCAGCCCAAAGGAGTGTTCCACATTACATCACTCTATTTTATTTTTGATATCACATTTATCACTGTTGTTGTTGTTATTGTTCATGTATTTATTCATGATCTGCTTCCTCTATGAAAACACTGACTTTGTCTTTTCTGTTCACTCTTCTATTGACAGGGCTGCCCCTAAAAAGGTGTGAACTCAGGGCAGTTCAACAATTACAGGGCAGACTAAGACAATCATCTCTAAAAAGGAGTCACAATGTCAGCATCTTTCACAGACCCCTTGAATTATCGTTAAAGACAAACTTTTTAAAATATCTTTATTTCTATTTGTTTATTTTTATGTGGTGCTGGGGACGAAACCCAGGGCCTCATGCATGCAAGGCAAGCACTCTACCACTGAGCTACAACCCCAGCCCTAAAGACAAACATTTTAAAACTGAATTCCAAAGATGTTCAGAGAAGAACAGTAAAGTATAGCATACTGGATGCTGTCTTCAGAACTACAGAACAACATAATTCTAACACAGTGAATACTTGATAAATGCAATCCTCATATTCATTCAAGAAAATGAATGAGTTTTTTTGTGTATGTGATTCTGTGGACTTAACCCAGGGACACTCTTCCACTGAGCTGTATCCCCAGTCCTATTTGATTTGATTTAATTTAATTTAATTTAAGACAGGGTCTTGCTGAGTTGCCCAGTCTGAACTTAAATTTCCAATTCTATCTCAGTCTCCCAAGTAGATGGGATTACATTTATTTTTCAATGATTTTTTTCATTCATTATTCAAGAAATATTTGTTGAGAACCTACTATGTGCCAAGAGTACTAAAGAATGGATATATACAGGTGAACAAGATAAACACAATTCCTGCCCTTCTGGAGTCTGTAGTCCGCAAGTGCTAATACATTAAATATTACTAACACATTAAAAATAATATATTTAAAATTAATGCACCAAAACCTCAAAAAATAAATGTATAGTTAAAAGTTGTAAGTGCTGGGCTGGGGTTGTAGCTCTGTAGCAGAGCACTTGCCTCGCACATTTGAGGCACTGGATTCAATCCTCAGCACCACATAAAAATAAATAAACAAAATAAAGATATTGTGCCCATGTATAACTAAAAAACATTTTTTAAAAAAGAGTTATAAGTGCCAGGAGTGAAAAGAAGTAGATTCCATGGAAGTCAATTACTGGGAGTAAAGAGATAAAGAGGAGGTGAGGAGACAGGTGGACAGGTGAGTACAATTCTGAGATCAGTCTTCTGCTTCATTTACTAGTCTTATCCCAGCCTCCTTTTTCATCAGTGCTCCCTTTACAGTGTTCTCTGTGACAGGTGTGACCTCTCCACCCTTGTTGGCCCAAAACAGACTCTTCCTCCAACTGAACAATGAAGTACAACATAAAAATGGGAATTGGTGTACCAGTTTCCTTCCCTATCACTAGCAACACAAAAGCAGCTTTCTACTGAAGGCTGTGGCCCACTGGATAAAAACTCAGGTTCCAGAGTCAGTAAAAGTTGGCTTCAAATCCCTGCTTCACCACCTATCAGCTATGTGACCCTAGGTAATTATGCAAATGTTATAACTTCAGCTTTCTCTTTAGGTAAATATACAAATCATCCTAGTTACCTAACCTTAGGGGTACTGTAAGGACAAATGACAAAACACATGTAACATGAAGCAGAGCATCTGACATTACCTGTCATTGTCATGACTGCTCCCCAAAACCTGCCTAAGGGTTGTCCCAGCGCTACTCTGGTCTCTGTGAACATGGTTACATTCCTGATGGGAACAAACACCTAGATGTGTGGTATGAAATAGGCTTTTCCTTTGTCCTCTTACCTTTCAAATGTTTTCAGCTAGTTCTTGTCACTGCATCCAAAATGACAACACTAAATTATTATTTCTATATGCAGCAAGAATTTAGATTAAAATAAGAGGTCAAAGAAGTGGAAGTGAGCTCATCTACTACATTCGGAATAATAAGATTAAAAATAGACCAAGGGGCTAGGATTGTGGCTCAGCGGTAGAGAGCTCGCCTAGCACGGGCGGGACCCGGGTTCGATCCTCAGCACCACATAAAAATAAAGGCATTGTGTTGTGTCCATCTACACCTAAAAAATAAATATTTTTTAAAAAATAGACTGGAACAATTTAGAAAAATAAATAGAAGGCTATAAAGCTTCTTAATACAGTTTCTCTGGTTTGGTCATTTTCCAGACACCCAAACTGCCACCAAGTGTGAAAATGTCAGCATATTAAGGGGAAGTTACAACAAGAGTCAAAGTTATAAATAATGAACTCATTCACAGGCTGAGCAAGTCTCAGGACAAATGAAGTGTTTGAAAGAACTCAGTGTTCTCCACAGGCTAATGGCATAGATAGTAGCATCATCTAACCAAAAAAAGAAAAAAAAAAGGAAATGAATGTGTCTTTAAGAAGAACAATAATTTTAATAACATTGGTTTTTAGAAATCTTTAACATCTATGGAGCATATCAGAATTGACAGTATGATTCTAGAGAGAGAATATAATTTGATTCTCTCTTTACAGACAGGGAAACTGAAGCTCTCAGAATTTAAGACATTTCATGATGCCCACATGGCAAAGTAAGAATTCAAAAGCAGTTCAGCTGAGGCAAACAAAGTAAATGAAGTAAACGAAACTGAAGACTAATCTTAGAATTATACTCACCTTCCCACCTGTTTCCCACCTACTCTTTATCTCTTTACTCCCAGTAATTGACTTTCATAGAAACTACTTTCCGTGCTGGCACCTAGTGAACACAACTGGTGAAGTATAAAATCAAGCTCTGATTAAGTAAATGGGTGCCCATTAAAATAGGATTTTACAGTTATACTGAATATACATGGATTACCCAAAGATAAGGTATTTGCTTAGGAGATTAATAAAAAGTACCGAGCTCACTGTCAAACAGGATTACACTGCCCCCCTGTGTCCATAGCATCTTTGTAAACTAAGAGCCAAAGGGATCATTAATTTTTGGAAGCAAAATCACTGGACTTCTTCATTCTTTAGCATAAAGCCATATGCAAATCTTAGTAACACTATTTGTATTCCTATTCTAATGGGAAAATGTCTTTCCATGGTTAAGTGAAAGAGAAGCAAAAAGTAACAAACAATAAAGTAATATATACAGCAAAATACAGCAAGATAACAAATCAGCCAAAGAAAAATTGGTCTAAATGTAGCCTGTGTGACCCCACAGTGCAGCCCACACAAGACTTTAAGCAAGAGGTTAGTATCAAGGACTGCAGATCCAGAGGGCTCACTACCTCCAATTAGTGCCTGGAGTCACTAGTATCATACCAGAAAGATTGGCACAGGGTAGACACATGTGAAGTATACCCTCAATAACATATGCTGAACAATTAATCAGTTAATCTGCATGGCATCTGTAGCTGAGTGAAATTGTTATTTTGAGTAATTTAAACTTAATTCCACTAAAATTATAATCTGAAATTGGAGGATTGTGGACAAAAAGAAAACAAGCATAATAAGGCTCCCACTTTGCATATGATTAACTTGTGAGTTAGAACCAGTATGGATGCACTCAGCTTAAATATTCTCCAATCATCATTATTTACAGACAACTATTTTCGTAGCCTTCTCAAAAATGGATTTTGGTCACATAAAAAATATGCAGGGGTTCAACATGAATTAAATTTTAAAAGCAGTTGCAAAATGCACATATTTAACATACACCACATCTACAAAAATATAGTGTGCACCTCACATATTCAGTATGTAGAGGTGTGTGCATGTGTTATTTTAAGGTTGGTTAAATATACTAAATGCATGATATATACCAAATGCATTTTAAAAGATCTAAAAACATATGCAACTAATTGTTAATGAAGTATCTGTTAGGAGTTGTTGATGAATGAGTCTATATACTTCTATGTTAATTAAATTTTGTACAGTGAGGTATTTAGGTAATTTTTAATTTTTAATTCATGCAAAATTAAATAAGACCAAATTAAGCATACTTCTACCTTATTAGTATATTAAAATATAACTTGCCACTTAGCAGTGATATATGTTTGAACATAAAATTAGGTCAAGTAAGAAAAAAAACTTATGGAAAAAAACTCAATGGCCTGATTTTTAGCCTGTCACTTTTTGGCTGAAAAACCTTCACTAAGAATTTCTGAACAGCAGGTAGGAGGCATCTATCTGCTCTGTTCTGTCTGCCTTAAAAAGTAACGACATATCCAAGAGTGTCTATCCCTAAATTCAGACAGAGTAGGGTTCTTTTCTGTTTGCAGGGGCTGACCAAGAAGTAGAAGAAAGAACTATAGCTGCCTGGGTCTACATCACTTCACAGGGCCCCTTGACTTGCTCTGGTGATATATCATTATGGGTAGGAATATGATCCTCACTCAAAATCCTCCACTGCCCCCATTCTTTAGCTGAGGCATCTGCCAGGTTCACTTTCCCTCTCTCATGCTCTCTTAAGAAAAAGGAACGTTCACATGTAAAATACCAAAACACTGAATCAAAAAAGAGGAAATATATATGTATTGACTATAACTAACTAAAGACATAGGTTAAAATGTCAGGACTTTGCAACCAAACACCACAATTAATCAAGGACATTGACAGTCACTTAATATAGAAGAAAAGGAAGCAAACAATTCACAATGTAGTAAAATGGAAATTTTTAAGAAGCCAATTTCAAATGTAGGATTTTCACAAATCACCTTTTTTTAAAAGGGGCTATAAAACATGGTAAAATATATCTTAAAGAAATTATTGTAGGAACGATAGTAGAATGAATTGGACATTATTACCCTATGTGCATATATGATTACATGACCTGTATAACTCTACATCATGTACAATCAAAAGAATTATGGAGTTATACTCCACTTAAGTATAAATGTGTCAAAATGCATTCTACTGTCATGTATGACTAATTAGAACAAATTAAAAAATCAATCTAAAAAAATAAATTATTACACATTTTGTAAACACAGTAAATCCAAATGACAATATTCAGCTGGACCTTATTATCTGCTGGATATGGGGAATGGGTATGCTCTGCCTTGTAGATGCAGATGTAGCAGTGAACCTTATGGGTGATCAGTTAACCCCAGATTCACAAGGCACAGTTTAATTTAGTAATTCTACTCTTCATAAATAAACCAAGGAAAAATAATTTTTATAAATATGTGAAAGACAAAATCTAAATGCTCAATAAAATGTAAGGATAACACTATGGAAAATAGATATTGAAAAATTTTAAATTATAGGTAACTAGGTGAACTAGGTAGAATAAGAAAATCCAACCCAAAATATTGCAGATATTCTGTTTATAGCCCTTTAAAAACACAAGTAAATTAATTAAGGTTTTCATGGCTATCAAAAATCAAGGTATAGATTATCATTAGAAATGATGGAATATTATTCAGACTTAATGAAATCCTGTCATTAGCAGGAAAAATGAATGAAACTGGATGACATCATGCTAAGAGAAATAAGTCAAGACACATAAAGAAAAGTGTTATAGTTTCTCTCTCTGATGTGGAAACTAAAAAAAAAAGTGAACCTGGCAATGGCCGCAGTGGTGTACACCTGAAATTCCATCGACTTGGGAACTGAGGCAGGAGGATCACAAGTTCAAGACCAGCCTCAGCAACTTAGCAAGACCCAAAGCAATTTAGTGATACCCTGTCTCAAAATAAAAAATAAAAAGGGCTGGGTATGTGGCTCAGTGGTTAAATGTCCCTGGGTTCAATTTCCAGTACTAAAAAGGAAAAAAAAAAAGACAATAAAACAGGGACATAAAATGAGGAAAATCTAATTTTCCTTTTTCCTTTCTAGCTTCTATACATGAGAGAAAACATACAACTGACCACTGACTTTTTGAGTTTGACTTTTTAACAAGAATAGAATATGTATATAACACACATAAAAAGTCTGTAACAATGTGCTCTAATCACAGAGAAATACCAAGAAACATGCTTAATGGTTCTTTCAGGATGATGTGATTTTTGGATCCTTTTTGTAAGTAAAGACTATGAAGTTATTTTCATCTCAGGAAAGAAAAAAACAGAAATGTGTAAATAGCAAAGATCAAAGATCACAAGAGAATTTTCTGGGTTTTAGATTCTCTCTGTCTCTCTCCTCTCTCTCTCTTTCTCTTTCACACACACACACACACACACACACACACACACACACACACACCATAGAGATATAAAGCCCTAAAATCACAGAGCCATGCTCAAAGACTATTTATGAGATTAGCTGGTTGTACCCTCTTGGACCAGCTCAGGTCTCAAGACTCAATGCAAAAGCATCAGAGAATGGGTTCCTCCTAGAGTCCCATGACTGTAGCAGAGGGGTCACAAACTTTTTCTATAAAGGAACAGATAGTAAATCTTTTAGGCTTTGCAGGCCATCTGGTTACAACTACTCAACTCTGTCACTGTGCTGTGAAAGAGCTACAAGTAATACTTAAACATGAATGTGGCTATGTTCCAGTAAAACTTTCTTTTAGATGATAAAATCTGAATTTCATATAGTTTTCACATTACTAAATATTCTTCTCTTGAAAATTTTTATTCAACCATCTAAAAATGTTGAAAAACCATACTCAGTTTGGCAGTTTCCCAAAAAGTTTGACAGATTTATTGTATAATGTAGAAAACCACACTCACCCAAGAGAACTAAAAGAAATACACAATGATGTGTATGTGAATGTTCATAACAACACTATTTATAATCTCCCAAAAGTGGAAACAACTCCAATTTTTATCAACATATACATGTATAAACAAAATATGGTGAGTATACAAGAGTATTATTTGGGCATAAAGAGGAATTAAGGTCTGATACATGTTACAACATGCCTAAACCTTGAAAATATTAGGCTAAATGAAAGATCCAGACCTAAAAAGCCACATAGTGTAGCTTTCCATTTATACGAAATTCTAGAATTGGCAAATCAATTGAGACATAAAGTAGATGAGCAGTGCTCAGGGGCTAGACGGAAGAGGGAATGAGGAATAACTGCTGTGTATGGGGTTTATTTCTGGGGTGACAAAAAATGTCCTGGAATTGTCAATAGATTGGCAGAGGAGAAGTATATATTATGTACACTTTTTAAAAACTTTTTTCTACATTTTTATTGATGCATTATAGTTGTTCATATTGATGGAATTTGTTATTACATATTCACACATGCACACAATATAACAATATCATTTGGCTAATATCACTTCCTAACTTTTCCCCTCTCCCTCTCTGCCTCCCACCCCTTGCTCCCTTTGGTCTACTGATCGCCCTTTGATTTTTAGGAGATCCACCCTGACCTTTGTTTCCTTTTTCCTTTCTAGCTTCTATACATGAGAGAAAACATACAACTGACCATTGACTTTTTGAGTTTGACTTATTTCTCTGAACAAGATGGTCTCTAGTTCCACTTATTTTCCTGCAAAGGCCATAATTTCATTTTGCTTTATGGCTGAATAAAACTTCATTGTGCATATATACCACATTTTCTTTATCCATTCATCCATTGATAAGACACCTTTGGCTGATTCCATATATACTTTTTAATTCTCACCACAACCCCAAGATATAACAGCTATCCTCTAATTTTATGAATGAGACAACTAAATCTCAAAGAGAAAAACACAGTAAGGTCACATATATAAACATATAAGCATAAGAAGTTATATGTTATATAAAGGCTCAGTGTTTAAATGCCAGTCCCCATTTTGTCATGTAAAAATCCTCTTAAAATTAAGTTGGTGTAGAAATGCATTTCTGGCACATTACCTGGAGGCACTAGCTGTATTAACTCAAACCTGGCTAGGAAGCCTAAAAAGGAAAACAGTGGAATTTTAATACTTCAAAAAATTGTCAGAGTTTTTTATTAAATATTTTAATTTTATAAATTAAACTACCATAACACTCCATTTACATTATTAATAACAACAATGCAGCTAGCCCTCTATATTTATAGGTTCTATTTCCATAGGTTCCCCATCCACATATTCAACCAACTGCGGATAGAAAATATTTCTAAAAATGCATCAGTACTAAACATGTACAGACATATTCTTGTCATTATTCCCCAAACAATACAGAATAACAACTATTTACACTGCATATAAGTAATATGGCTATGATTTAAATATATGGGAGGGTGGGTATAGGTTATAAGTCAATACTGTATCATTCGTTATAAGGAAATTGCATATTGGTGGGTTTGGGGATTCTTTGAGGTCCTGGAACCAATTTCCCATGGATATCAAGGAACAATTATAATTAAAAATAAGTGCCACACCAACAAGGTCTCAGGTGTCAATAAGTCGAGGGAGTAGAATAAGAATATCTGAGTTATAAAAATATCGTTTCAACTCCAGGAAAGTACAGACAAAACATGTAATATTTTGTCTCTTAAAAATGTATTCATGAGGGCTGGGGTTGTGGCTCAGCGGTAGAGTGCTCGCCTAGCACATGTGAGGCCCTGGGCTCGATCCTTAGCACCACATAAAAATAAACAAATAAAATAAATGTATTGTGTCCAACTACAAGTAAAAAATAAATACTTAAAAAAAAAGTGTATTCATGCCTGGTGCGGTGATGCAGGCCTGTAATCTCAGCAGCTGGGGAGGCTGAGACAGGAGGATCAAGAGTTCAAAGCAACCCTCATCAATGGCAAGGCACTAAGCAACTCAGTGAGACCTTGTGTCTAAATAAAATACAAAATAGTGGTGGGGATGTGGCTCAGTGGTCGAGTTCCCCTGAGTTAAATCTCTGGTACCAAAAAAAAAAAAAAAGTGTTTTCATAAGAGCATCAAAATGGGGGGCTGGGGATATAGCTTAGTCGGTAGAGTGCCTGCCTTGCATGCACATAGGCCCTGGGTTCAATCCCTAGTACCACCAAAAAAAAAAAAAAAAAGGGGCATGAAAATGTGTACTTTTCATCTTAAAAATTCAAAATCTAATTGTGACCCATTAACATAAAAGTTTATCTTACCGAAGACAGTGTACCAATGACTATATAAATTAAAACATAAAATAAAACTTTATTATTATTTGAGTTCAAAATACATTTAGAAATAATGATCTAATCTATAGTATCTCTAGAGGCAAGAATAAAACTCAAATCATAAAGGTGAATTAAAACAAACAGTATTACAATACAAAATTAATAAAGAATAGATTAAATAGATAAAAATAGATTTATGAATGCATAAGAACAAAATTTAAATTCCAAGAAACTAGCCAGATGTTGAGGCGCACTCCTGTAATCCCCGTGGCTCAGGAGCCTGAGACAGGAGGATCATGAGTTCAAAGCCAGCCTCAGCAAAAGCGAGGCGCTAAGCCACTCAGTGAGACCGTGTTTCTAAATAAAATACAAAACAGGGCTGGGGATGTGGCTCAGTGGTTGAGTGTTCCTGAGCTCAAGCCCCAGTACCCCAAATAAATAAATAAATATAAATTCCAAGAAACTTAAAAACCAAGATAGCCTGAAATTTCACTCCAACAGTTCCATTAAGCACTTAATTTGTTTTAAGTTCAAAATTCCTTGTATTCAATTAATTCTCACCACAACTCAAAGAGTCTAATAACAGCTATCTTCCAATTTTATGAATGAGACAACTAAATCTCAAAGAAAAAAGCATAGCAAGGTCACATGGCTAACACTGACAGAGCTCTACAGGAACCCACGCAGTCTATTCCCAGGGCTAGTGTTCTTACCCACAAGATGTTTCACTGAAAATCCCATTCTTCCAAAGAACAAGTACATTAGGATACTTTATAAAATACCTACAGCTTTTAATTGCCTGCTAGCAATGAAACACCTCCATTTAGATCTTACACTGACACTCTAAACTCAATCTGTCCAAAGTTAAACTCCCTCCACCAACTCTTCTTTCTGACTTTCTAGTCTTAGTGAATAGCATAAATAGGATCCAGGGTTTTCTCTAGATGCTGTGAGTTTTGAGCACACCCACATCCCATCAACTCCTTCAAAGTTTCATTTACTGTTTCTGATGATCATAACCTTTGATTCCTGTAGATTTTCTATTTATTCTACACCTGGCTTTCTGAACCCCTGTTTTACTGTTGTACTATTCTGTTTCTAACCTGCACTATCTGTGGACACAGACTCATTAGATGCATAATTTCAAATTTCTTTTTTTTAAATATATATTTATTTTAGTTGTAAACTGACCTTTATTTTATTTATATATAGTACTGAGACTCGAACCCAGGGCCTCACACATGCTAGGCAAGTGCTCTATCACTGAGCCACAACCCTAGCCCCTCAAATTTCTTAATCCACCTCTTATGTTGGCCGGATACCTAGCCTGCTCCTGATTCTGTCCTCTTTCCAGCACTGCCTCAGGTCACCTAGCATTTAATTCTTATTATTTCTCTATGAGATTCTGCTATTACCTATGACCTTGGTCCTAATTCTTTCAACTGAATAAATCTCAGTTGAAAAATTCATAAAGATTAAGAAAGTGGTTGTTGGTTACCTACTAATGAACCTTTCATATTAATACACTGGGGAAAAAAGAGCAAACTAAATCTAAAGCAAACAGAAGGAAGAAGATAATGAAGGATAAGAAGAAATTAATAAAATAAAGAACAGAAAAACAATAAAGTCGAATGAATCCAAAAGCTGGTTCTTTAGAAATCAACAAAACTGAGAAACCTTTAGTTAAATTCATCAAGAAAAGGGATAAGATTCAAATTACTAAAATCAGAAATGAAAGAGAGGATATTACTACTGATCATAAAGAAATAGAAAGGACTGTAACGCAATACTATGAACAACTTTATGATAACAAATTAGATAATGAAATGGAAAAATTCCTAGAAAGATATAATCTATCAAAACTGGTTCAAGAAGAAATAGAAATACTGAAGAGACCTACAACAAGCAGAAAGAGGGGCTGGGGTTGTGGCTCAGTGGTAGAACTTGCCTAGCATGTGCGAGGCCCTGGGTTCGATCCTCAGCACCATATAAAAATAAATAAAATAAAAGTATTTTGCCCAATACAACTAAAAAATTTTTTAAAAATTAAAATAAAACAAGCAGAAACATTAAATCTGTAATTGAAAAACAATCTGAAGACAAGTTCAGGCCCAGGTGGCTTCACTGGTGAATTCTACCAAAAGTTTAAAGAAAATTAATACTAATAAACTAAAGAGGAAAAAACATTTCCCAGGCTGTGGGTGTGGCTCAGTGGTAGAGTGCTTACCTAGCATGTGTGAGACATTGGGTTCAATCCTCAGCACCACATAAGAAGACAAATAAACAAAATAAAGATAGTGTGTCCATCTACAACTAAAAATAAAATAAAATAAATTTTAAAAAAATCCCAACTCATTCTATGAGGCTAGTATTAGCAAAACTTGACCAAGATATCACCAGAAAACAAAACTGTCAACCAGTATCTCTTTATGACTGTAGATCCCAAAATCCTCAACACAATCCTAGCACATCAAATAACGCAATATATGGAAAGGACTGTATGCCATAATCAAGTGAAATTTATTCCAGGAATGTAAAATTGGATAAATGTCTGAAAACAAATAAACATATGAACAAAACAAAGGATTAAAAAGCATGTGATAAAATTTAACATTCTTTTGTAATTAAAGAAAAAAATCTGGGCTGGGGACATAACTCAGTTGGTAGAGTGCTTACCTCGCATGCACAAGGCCCTGAGTTAATCCTTAGCACCACAAAGAAAAAAAAAAAAAAAAGACAACATATAAACTAGGAACAGAAGGAAGCTTCCTCAATCTGATATAGGGCATCTATAAAAAATTGACATGTAACATCACTTTTATTGTTTTTATTCAATATTGTTCTGTAAACTCTAGTCAGGGCATTAGACAAGAAAATGAAATAAAATGCAGACAGACTATAAAGGAAGAAATAAAGTTATTTCCATTTGTAGACAATCTAATTTTGTGTGTATAAAATCATAAAAAATAAATAAATAAACAAAAACTAGAATCAATAAATGAGTTTGGCACATTTGCAGAATATAATATCAGAGAATAATTTAGCTAAATTTCTATACACTGAAATAAACAATCTAAAAATGGAAAAAAAATTAAATTTAATTTACAACAGCATCAAAAAGAATAAAATACTTAAAACTTAACAAAAGGAATGCAAGAATTGTACACTGAACATTATAAACATTGAAAATAAGCTTAAAATGACCTAAATAAATGGAAACACATCCCATGTTCATGATTGGAAGACTTAATATTGTTAAGAGGGTAATATTCCCCAAATTGATCTATAGATTCAATGAAATCCCTATTAATATCCCAGCTAGATTCTTCACAGAAAGTAACAAGTTGATTCTAAAATTCATATGAAAAAACTTAAGTGATCCCCCTGAGAAGAGTCTTGAAAAAAGAACTAAACTGGAGGCTGGAAAGCTCACATTTTCTGCTTTCAAAACTTCTCACAAAGCTACAGTAATCAAGATTGTATGTTGGCATAACAATAGGCATGTGAATCAATGGAATGGAATTGGGAGCCTAAAAATAAACCTTCACATTATAGGAACTTGGTTTTCAATAAGAGTGCCAAGAGACTTCAGTGACAGAAACAAAATCTTTACAGTCTTTTTATCAAATGATGCTAAGACAAATGGATAGTCACATGCAAAATAATGAAAATAGGCCCATAACTCACACCATTTACAAAAATCAACAGAAGACAGATTACAGACCCAAATATAAGAGTCAATATTATAAAATTTTTACATGTAAATCTTTGTGACCTTGTATTAAACAATAGTTTCTGAGATATGACACCAACAGTATAAGCAATATAAGAAGAACAAACTGGAATTCACCAAGTTTAAAACTTTTGTGTTTCTAAGAATCCCAACAAGAAAATGAAAGCCAACCCAAAGAACAGGAGAAAAATAACTGGAAATCATTTATCTGATAGGGACTTATATATGGAATACATAAGAAACACTTGTAACTCAATTTTTTTTAAAGACAACCTACTTAAAAAGTAGGCAAAGGATCTGAATAGACAATTCTGCAAAGAACACTCAACATCATTAGCCATCACGGAAAAACAAATCAAACTAATGATGAGATACCACTTCATACCCACAAAGACCAATCAAAATGACAAATAATAACTGCTGGCCAAGATGTAGAAAAGTGAAATCCTCAGACATTACTGAAGAGATGTAAAATGATTCAGCTGCTTTGGTAAATAGTGTGGGAGTTCCTTAAAAGTCTAACCAAATAGTTATTATATTACCTAGTGATCTCACTCCTGGATAGATGGATGCATAGATAAATGATAGATAGATAGATGAATGAATAGATAGATAGATAGATAGATAGAAAAGAAAACATAGGTCCATACAAAAACTTGTACATAAATATCCATAGCATCATTATTCATCATAGCCTAAAAGTGCAAACAACCCAATTGATAAGCAGAAAAACAAAATGTGGTATAATTATACAATGGAATATTATTTGGCCATAAAAAGAAATGAGGTATTGGAACATGCTATAACACAAATGAACCTTCAAAATGTTATGCTAGGCAAAAGAAGTTAATCACAAAAGACCACATATTGAATAATCCTATTTATGTGAAATATCCAGAATAAGCAAATCTATAAAGACAGAAAGATCCATATTTGCATTTGGCTGGGAGGGTTAGCAGGGAATAGAGAGTGATTAATAATGGGTATAGGATTTCTCACTTAATATTGATAAACAACCAAACAGAATTTATCATCTTGAAAATTCCATCTATATTTAGAAAAAAGTTTGTAATAGGATCAAAAACATGATTCAAAATTTACCATAAGGTCTTTTGAATGTAAACATGATCAAACATGGAAATATCACAGTTTAGAAAAACAGCAAACTGCATACTATTATATACCTGTGAATTACACAGAATAATCTTTTTTTTCTTTAATGAGTACCTACTTTCTAAAAGTTCTGCTACAGCTCCAGGATCTATTGCATTTTCAAATACCTGTAGAGAAAAATATGGGAAAAACATTTTTAAGTTTTTTAATAGTTACTTACAGAAACTGTAGATTATTTTCTTCCTAATAATTAGGATGTTATTTGGTAAAATCCAGCCATATAATATTTTAGGACTCAACAGAAACACTTTTAACAAGTATGATTAAAAGATCAATATAGTACAAAAATAGAACATAGAACAAATTCATAGAAATTAACAGAACAATAGCATATGCAAGGAAATCTGAGTTGGCTAAATCTACCACATGCTTAAAATGTCGTCAACTTGACCTAGTTCTATTTGTTGCTAAAAGCACATTTTACATTAACCTGAGTCTTGAGTACCTAGAAAAACATTCTGCTTACAATAGATCTCACTAAATGTTAACTGAATGATTTCTCTTCCCAAGCAATTAGTTCTGCTAAGAAGGAACATTAAAATAGAAATTCTGCCTACATATTAACACTCACACAAAAAGCTCACTACTAGGAGTTACACTCTCACAGAATCCAGAGGTGAGGGAGAGAGAGCCTCTTAAATCTATCATAAAGCACATGTGCTCTGTTCAGTTATTGCCAAATCTGCATATTTTGTTTTTGACAGTAAAGGCCCTGGGATAGGACTAAAACAAAGGCCTCTCCCACTAAATTATGCAACCCAGTGGAAAGCATTTTTTTTTTCCAGTAGACTTTGATTTCAAGCTTCAGAGTTCTCATTTAAACAATGTTAAACATGGTTAAAAATCTGTCTTGGATCCAAAGCCAGATCTGCTTTAAGAACAAAAATGGGAGACTGTGTGATTTCCCTGTAATCCATTTTTGTCTTACTGGGTTGGATTTATTAAGCAAATGTAATTTTTTGCTTAAATTTTTTCAATAACTGCATCTTTTACTATTGTTATGGTTTGAATTATGTCCCCCAAAATGTTGAAATCCCAGCCCCAGTACCTCAGAATGTGACCTCATTTCCAATTAGGGTCATTAAGTAATTGTTAAGCTAGAATGAGGTCATACTGGAATAGATTGGATTCCTAATCCAATATGATTGGTGTCCTTATAAAAAGGGGATATTTGAGCACAGAAGGTATTAAAAAGTTTATACAAAATAAATTCAAGAGTTTATTTGAGCAAAGAATGATTCATGAACCAGGCAGCACTCAATCAGAAAATTGCTACCAAGTGGGCAGAGAGCTTTTATAGGTGACATGGAAATAAAACAAGAAGATACATTTGATTGGTTGGAGTGGAAAGACCTGGAGAGTGGTTAGTTGACAGTTTCTGATTAGGAAAGTCTCTAGTTAAGAGGACAGTTGACAGTTTATAATTGGTAAAGTCTCTAGTTTGATTTTACAGTTTACATTGGGCTTCAGTTTACTTATGGAGGCACTTAAAGCACTGGATCTTCCCCAGCCTAATAGCCTCTCTGCCCTCAATTTTTTAAACAGCATGCACACAGAAAGAATAAATAGCCATATAAATATTAAAAATATGCTGACAAAAGCCAAGGAACTATCAAAAGCTAGGAGAGAGGTCAAGAATTGATCCTTCCCTAGTGCCTTCATAGGCAACATGACCCTGCCAACATTCTGATCTCAGACTGCTAGCCTCCAGAACTGTGAGACAATATGCTTCTGTTGTTTAAGTCACTCAGTTTGTAGTATTTTTGTATACCAGCTCTGGAAAATGAATACTCCCTTATCTGAGGATTTTCTCAAGTGTGATCTTGAGTAAATGATGAACACAAACTGTTCAAACACAATAGCTCATAAATTTTTCATGAGGAATTTGTTTATTCAAATGCTTTAAAACATTCAATTCTGCATTACACAGAAGGTCCAAGGAAGAGAAAATGTCACTACTTGCTGCAAGTATTTGAAGAAAGATAAGCGAACAGATAAAGAAGAGCTGGAATTGACTAGGAGAAAACTACACTATGAACCCAAATAACTCATACAAAGAGGGTAATTAGTTTCATTCAGAAAAAAAAAATGGTTCTGATATATTTACTAGTAATATCAAATGTACCACTTTTCAACAGAGCAGTAGTGACATTTAAAATGTGACTCTAAGACTCATTCCTTTCTTTTTTTAAACAAATCAAGAAGGTTGGACTAGACGACCCCCTGCCCAAAGTCATTTACAGATTTCATTCTAGGATTCCACAATTTTGTATCTTTGGGCTTCTTATAAAAAGATTTTTAAAGTCTTCTACAGATTAAATTGAAAACTGATAAAACTAATATGAAAATTCTTAGGAGGAAAAATGGCTGCATTTTCACCACTTTCAACATCTAAATGTGAGAAATAGGTTCCTGTGGGTTCTGATTGTATGTTCTAAGATAATACTCATTTATTTCTCTCTTTTTATCCAGTCAGTTTAGCACATTTTAAATTTAAATTAATAGGCTGCGATTTACAAACATATTGCATGCAACCCTGGCCCTTCAGTGAATCAATCTTGATCTTCTCTCCCATCCTCAGGTCAAAACAGGTCACTTTCTGGGCACCATCTTTCAGACCTATCCTACCAACCTTCCCTCTGCCCAAAAGATCTTAGTGACACTGTTTAGAGAAACATCATTAGCTTTATTGAGGTTAAAACTGATTTCATCTCCAAATGCAAAACAAAAAGTTCAGGGGATTGCCAGTAACTGCATTGTAATCAAATGAATATTCTTTTAAATACTGAGGTGGGAAGTGGGTGGGTAGTGTTTGGGCTATTTGTGTCATTACTGTATTCATTGGAACAGGAATCTAGCCTTATCACTATAGCTACATAAACGAGGTTTGACTTAAATAAATCAGAAGAGCTTTTTTGTCTCCTTACAGGATTTTGGTTATAAGATTTAACTTGATTTGGTTATAGTCTTTCATTATTTTTCCGGGTCTAAGAAAGTTTTTTTTTTTTTTTTTTTTGGCTAAGGTCTGCAATTTATTAAATGTAATGCAATTCTAACACCTCCAAGAACATTCAGAAATGCTCTCTTTGCTCCAGTTAAAAAATGTCATGGGAGTTCCAAGAATAGAAACCATTGACCAGGGTATTTAGCACTAGATTGACAGAACTTGGCTGGGACTTGCAAAGCACAAGCAAGTCTTTCAACTGTGATTTTACTTCAAGGCTGACTGTAGTTTTGCACTATACTTAAATGCCTTTGGGTTATGTTTTTACAGAAAATTTACAAAATAATTTTACAAGAACTATTAGATTATCTTCAGACAGCAAAATACAATGAGAAAGTCAAGATCACCTTTTTAAATCTCAGGATTTGCTGAATGACAATAGGGAACACAGAAGGAAAGCAGGCTGTCTCCACGTACTGATTCAGGAGGTAAACCCCGAGGTACACATCTTGTTTGTCTGGCAGGAACACTCCCGGGCAAGAAATCTTAGTGGGGGGGGGGGGGGGGAGAACAAGCAAAGTTTGTTTTATTTAACAGGGCTGTATTCCTCCTAGCCTTCCAGAGCCCCTGAAATGTCCCCCCATCATCATATTCCCTCACGTGTACCTCCCATCATCAACATCCTCCCCTGTTCTCTCCCATTTCATATTGGAAATTCCAATTCCCTCCCACGTCTCCGCCAGGTGTCACAATCGCGCTCTCGCCGGCTCCTCTCCCCGCCCCTTCAGGATGGCTGTGCGGAAGCGGAAGAGGCTGCAGGGCCGGGAGGCCTCTCTCTAGTCCCGCCGGGTCCCGGGGTCCGGGCCGCCCGCCGCGATGGCGAGCCCCCGGAGGAGCGTCGAGGGACGGCCGCTGGGCGCCTCCGTCTCGAGCAACACCAGCAACCCCGGCAGTCCGGCCCATGGCGGAGGCAGCAGCGGCAGGTTCGAGTTCCAGTCCCTGCTCAGCAGTCGAGCCGCGGGCGTCGACCCCACCAGCGCCCGGCTGCGCGCGTCCGAGAGCCCGGTGCACCGGCGCGGCTCCTTTCCAGTGGCCGCCGCGGGCTCCTCGCAGGCGCCCCCTCCTTCACTGCCCGAGGAGGACCGCATGGACCTGAACCCGTCCTTCCTGGGCATCGCCTTGCGCTCCCTGCTGGCCATCGACCTGTGGTTGTCCAAGAAGCTGGGGGTGTGTGCAGGGGAGAGCTCGTCTTGGGGTAGCGTGAGGCCCCTTATGAAGCTGCTGGAGATCTCGGGACACGGCATCACCTGGCTGCTGGGCACCCTGTACTGCCTATGCAGGAGCGACAGCTGGGCTGGGCGCGAGGTGCTGATGAACCTACTCTTCGCCCTGCTGTTGGACCTCCTGGTGGTGGCCCTGATCAAAGGGCTGGTCCGCAGGCGCCGACCGGCCCACAATCAGATGGACATGTTTGTCACTCTCTCGGTGGACAAGTACTCCTTCCCCTCGGGCCATGCCACAAGGGCCTCCCTGGTGTCCCGGTTCATCCTGAAGCACCTGGTACTGGCCATTCCACTGAGGGTGCTGGTGGTACTGTGGGCCTTCATCTTGGGTCTTTCCAGGGTCATGCTGGGGAGGCACAATGTCACCGATGTGGCTTTTGGCTTTTTTCTGGGCTATATGCAGTACAGCATCGTGGACTACTGCTGGCTTTCACCCCACAATGCTCCGGTCCTCTTTATACTGTGGAATCAACAGTGACACCATCTCATTGATTATGGCAACAGGAGAGCTGAAAGTTTCCACAGTTTGATGATGCCAGCCTAAATCAGCCACCATCCCACTTGCCCCTCTTATTTCAGATATTTCAGGCTTCCTTAGGATTTCAGATATCCCACCATCTTGATGTGTTGCTAGGCCAGAGCACGTGCTAGCCCTTGGAAGACAGCCATAAAAAGGGAAGCAAAAAGAAAAAAAAAATCTATTGTATATTTATTCAACTGTTTATATCTCCAGGACAATAGCAAAGAAACCAAGCTGGGGTGGTTATACTGTTGCTGGTTTTGACAGTAGGATTTGTGTTGTATAGTAATCCTGTAAGTTAACATCACTTGTAAATTGAATTTTTGAGAAACACCATCTTCATTCCATAAATATATGAGCAGATATTTCATGTACTAATCCTAGTCCTTTTTCTGAGTTAGACTTTAAGCAGTACTAAAAGTCTTTTAAGACACAAGTTTTTCTAGTTTATTCCTTGAAGATTTGTTGCCACCATCAGGGAGATTTCTTCTTAATCCTGATTTTCTTGGTAAGCCTTTTTACTTTATTATCTCTTCCATCTTTGTGGACTAGGCAGTGAGAAAGATTATAGTACTTTCTCTCCTTTCCCTACACCCTTTCAAAAGGTCTTTAAATATTATTTTCCAGTATTCTCTAATACTGTTTTTTTACCACTCAGAGGACAAATCAAGAACTACTTGAAGAAACACTTAAAAGGTGGGCATGTCTAAGGTGCCCACAGAAAAGTAAGTATGAGACTCTGGTTTCATGTCTAACTCTATTGACAACCAATAGCATGGCACAACAGAGGACAGAGAAGCTAAGCTGCTGGGGAAAGTCAAAAGAACTGAGAATTTAGGTTATTATGTCAATGACCAGCATGGCAGGAGATGAGACTCTGCTGCCCATCATCTCTACTGAATAAAAAAATAACATTCCTCTATCCATAAATAAAAAAAAGGAAAATAATGTGATTCTTTTCAATGTATGTGCAAAAGCTTTTTCATATATACCATGAGGATGACCCTGTATTCTATAGTTTTATAAATGGAATTCCGTTTTCCTGTATAAAGCATAGTTTATGTAACAGTATTTAACTTGAAATTCACCAGGGGAGCTTGCTGCTATATCAGACACTAGGTAAAACTCCTAAATTTCTGTTTACATTGACCTTTACATTTAAAGCTGTTCATCCATGTTGCCTCAAATCATAAGACCAAAGACTACCAAATGTGTGGTAGGCTTTACTCATTTGACCTAAAAAGAGGTATGTGCTTTAAATGTTGCTCTACCTGAAAAGAAAGCCTACTTTTGGAACTAATGTCTTCAGAAAATAATGACCAATTATTTTGGCATTTATAAATAGAAGGACTATGGACTTTAAGAGATGCAGACAGGAACCTGGAGAATGACTGTGATAGATAAGTAGGTTCTGATTGGGGGGAAGCATGAACTTTCTGAGAGTGAGAGGCACACTTAAAAGAGGAACGGCTACTCCTAAATAAAATAATTCACATTTCCACAATATCCTGAACACGGACTACCTCTTCACTTGCTGAATCAGCCAACAGTGAATCTCTAAGTGGTTTTGGGTTTGTTGTTCAATCTTAGATCCTTCATAGTAACTGCAGCAATATTCAGGCCAGATATTTGAAAGCAATTGTATTTCTTCTTGCAGTGTCCACAAGTCTGAATATTGGGGGCTTAACTTCCAGTTTGTAGTTATACTTATGGAATTCCCTGTTTTAGCTGTTGGGATCTGAGTTTGCTGGCTTTTAAAGCACAGATCAATTCAACTGATTTTCTGGAACATCCTAAGTACTGTAGAATAGACAACTGATTTCATTGTTAATTATACACTGAGGAATGCCTTTTAAAAATCAAAATAAAATTAACCAATAATTTTGTTAGATGAAAACTTAATTTTTGCCTGTATGTAAGAAATATCACTTGGCTTCTCTCCAGAGATTCTTCACCTTCTGCAGTTTTGAGAGCTTGCAATTAATAAAGCACAATTGATATGGTCTGGCCTTATTTTCTGTCAGCAAAATGGAACAAAACCAGGAAAATTGTATTATCTTTGTTTCACAGCTACATGTCTGATGAAACTTTAGCATTTGCCAATTGTATGGAAGCTAGCCAGAATCCACAGCAGTGTCCTGTTAGTCTTATAATCTAATGGTAGCCAGGAGAGAAGTCCCTAGCACCTTGGAGACAAAGCTGAATGTCAGTCTGTCACTAACTACAGAATGATGGGAAAATGGAAGCAGAAGAAGAATGACTGTCTCCCAAATAAGAACAATGAAGCCCCCTGCCCCAATACCTCATTTAGGAAGGATGTGGTGGATAATTACAGAACATTTGTTGACTGATTTCCCTTTTTGAATTAGCAAGCCAAAGTCATAATATTTGGTTGGCTCATAAATGTGACATTATCAGGAAGTAATGGGGCTTTTTAAAAATTAAATTATTCCATGGTTATTTAAAGGAGAATTTAAAATTCTTTCACAAATCTTTATTCTGAAAAAGAAAAAATCCTACTTGGACTTAAGGTAGTGTTGTTTTAAAACAACAAATTCAGAATGAAGTTAAGAAACATTTTGCTTTGGGGGAAAAAATAGGAACAGGTTGATCTGAATTAAAGGTTAGGAAGTCCAAGAATACAAACGTATATAAAAATCTTAGGACAAAAAGGTACGATCTGTCCCCAAAGAAAATAATGTGTATGTGTCAAGTGGGAGAAGAGCGGTGAAAACTATGGGGCGGCGGGTGGGGAGACCATTTAAGAGTCTGACTTGGAGTTAAGGAAAAGAGGTTTGCTAATCTCTTACCGCCCGGATCTGCAACTCCACCACCGCCTCCAGAGGCATCGTTCCCTGCGCGGGCGAAAGATCTGGAATGACAAGATCCTTTTGTGCTGGGTCTTGGACCAACTTTCCTTAGTTTAGCTCAACCCCTGGGGAAGTGTTCCCAGAAACTTCCCCAGCCCCCCACCCCCTCGATCCCCCATCAGACCCTCCCAGCCCGGGTCCCTCCCACCGGGACCGGTCTCTCACAACCGGCGCCAGAGCGTAGGCTTCCAGAAGGTGGAAGCGTCGCGTTGCCATGGACACTCAAACGCGCAACCTTCGACCCTAGAACACAAGCGAGGCCCGGTACACCTCCTGGAACGCGCGTGCGGGGCGCGGCTTCCCGGGCAGCAACTATCTGCAGTGACTTACTGGGTGTTGTCGAGGGAGCAGGATCCTGGTCAGGTGTTTGGAGCACTAATTTCTTTCCATCAACTCTGTGTGGTCCCAATCACTATGTTTAAATGTTTACAATTTCCTTTTTAACAGTGGAATGAAATCATAGCTCCGATATAATTTAATTACTACACATTTTAGTAGTTACTACCCCCCAGGTCCTGGAATTTCTGTTAACCATTTTCCAATTTAATATAATTAACTGTCCCAGTAGGTACGCGTTTGCTCTTTAAGAAGCTTACAAGAAATCAAGTGACCTCTCCAATAAGAGTTGAGTGGAGAAAGGCTGATAGCACTCCATCCCTCATAGTGATATGCCAAGCAGTGCCTCCTCTCCCTCACGGTGTTCTGTCCAGTGGCAGAGCTGGATGAGTGAAATGTATCTTTCCCGCAGTGCCTTCAGTTCTGTTTATGTCTCCATTCACAGAGGGGTTTTAGGTTAGACTGCAGAAACAATGACATCATCACGTTAGCTTGCTTAGTTTGCTTCTATTACCAGCATCCCAAGGAGCAACTGT